ACGGTCTCACTCACCCTCGCGTTCCGTTAACGCTATCACTACGTGAATCAGGGCTTGGTGGGGGGAGAGGTTGCCGATCGGCTTGCTGATATCAGCCCTGCTACTGTTCAAAAACAGGTAAGCGAGTTTCTCGCAACGCGATTAAATGTCTTAAGACATGTGCGTGACGCAATGGCTGAAAGCCAGGATGCTCAAAATAAACAAGCCGATGCCAAAGGCAGAAATTGTATTGAACGTTATGAGGTCGGAGACCAAGTACTACTCAATGCTAAAAATCTACCTACAAATGTAGTGTCTGCTGTCTTTAAGACAAAGTTGCGTCCACGCTTTATTGGACCGTTTACGGTCACGGCCAAGAAGGGACTTGCGTATACGCTAAACCTCCCGCGCAAATTGCGCACACATCCCGTGTTCTACGTAGGCTTACTTAAGCCGTACCGGGATCCTTCCCATGTGAACTTGGAGGCGCTTGCGCCGACGACAAGGGCACTGCCCCGGATTGCTGTAGACGAATCAGCAAGTCCAACTGAGCCTCGCTCCGAGTTTGAGCTTGCTCCATCGCCTGAAGGCGGCTTTGCATCGCATCCAGCATGCACTGGGACTTACCCAAGGCCTCTTGAAGACCCTTCACTTCGAGAACCAATTTCTCGTGGGCCTCCACCGGTACACCGGCCGCCACCGACTTTGCTCGATGAGCATGGGTGTCGTCAATTCCATGTCAAGAGACTACTGAAACGACGTCGTCGTCAGGGCCAATACCAGTATCTGGTAAAGTGGCGTGGGTACCCTGAGTCTGAAAACTCATGGGAATTTGAGGTACCCCTTCGGCAAGACTGCCCATATGCTTTGGAGGCTTTTGAGCATCGTGGCCATGGTCATCTCGAGGCCGAGGCCGTTCACCACCACTAGTGGTGCGGGTTGGCGGGTTGTTGGTCACAGACTGACCAGCACTCGCGGCTACCTTAGTAGCCGAAGCATAGCGCGTGCGCTTGCGCAATTGGCCTCTGGCCTTAAGCTTGGCATAATCATACCGAAGCTTGCGTTCGAGACGCACATCCGCCGCATGGGCACTAGCCCTTAGAGTAAAAATGTTGCTGAGGCGACGCACATAGTGCACCCAGTGAACAAAGGCATCGTCTTCTTCACTCGCTGTTTCGCCTGCGAGCAGGAGAATGGGTATACCCTTCATCGGTGGAACTGGTGCACCACGTGCTTGCATGTCAAGGCGTGCCTTGTATTGACTTTGAGTCGTTAGGTGCGGCTCCAGGTACCTCTCACGAAGTGCCTGGCAGCTCACCACCTCCTCAGGAGTCTTAGGCCCATGGCCAATGACCCAAGTTGCCAATGTTTGGCCGGCCGCTTGACGCAGACGTTCCTCCACACTGGGTGGGGTGAACACATAATCACGCTGGCGTTCAAGGGTTGCAGTCATCTGTGCATAACGCTGAGCGTTTTCTTCTCTTTGAACAAGCAGTTGTTGTTGCTCATCGAGCGGGTTCGCGATGATAGTCTCATCAGAACCAGATGCTGCATGCTGCGCTGGCGGCGCGCTCGCACCTCCACGTTCAGCGAACGGATTTGGGGTGTTCGAAAGTTGTGCCTCAGGCATCAGTGAGCCGGATGTTGTCCCTGTGTCACCGCGGACACTGGTATCGCTACCATTGTCCACCTCTTCCTCTATTCCGAGGTAGTCACACAGAGCCTTTGACTCGTTTGGTGATGAGGACATCGTGCTGGAGCGTACGTTACCGTGAGGTTCACCGTACGCGCACTGTTCTCGCTGAGAACACGAGTTCGATTGACGTTTTGGCAAACGTCAGTCTGGTGGGGGAGGGTGTAACGGGGTTGCACGAAATCATGGTACTTTGTACCAGATGTGTTACACACCTGAGGGTTCGCTTCTGTGAAGGTGATATAGAATATCTTATCGGTTTGTAGGGGCTGACGAGTGTCAGCCATTAGATACGAAAGATCTTTGAGTAGGATTAAGATATTCTATAGGCTTTAACAAAAATAAAATCAGTTCCCATTTTGATCTGAAAGACACGTGGCTTGCGAGCCGTCTTGATCGTTGATCTCTGATCACTGAGAGGTAGCGACACCTCCTTGAGGTAGCTACTCTTGAGCACTAAGTGCTGTCGATTCACTGAATCGTTAGGTCCCCTGGAACAGGGATCTGAAGCTATAAAGCTTGTTGACTCGTAAAGTCGTTAGTTCTTTAGAACTAAGTTGCTCGTAGAGCGTTAAGTCTTCCTCTGACTTAAGGAGCTGTGTAGCTCCGCTACAGCATCCAACAATCTGCCACATACCATCGTCTCTCATTTACTAAGCAATACTCCTTGCTTCGCGAAAAAAGTATACATACGCCTGTTCGTGAGTTTCTCGATCGATGGTATGTTCTTCCTCAATACAGGTATGATGTGTACATTCTGAGAACAACCTTATTCGACATACCATCGACATTGACGTTCATAACAGCATGGCCAAAATTGACGGACTTGATGGTGCGACCGTCCGCAACAGTGACATTTAGATCGCACGTATGCTGATTGAGGAGGTCGATGCCAATACCGCAGATGTGTGGCAGCTAGAACCAGAAACTAACAGCCATTCTCAATATATTTAGTTGCTGGTGCTTTCTGCCCAGCATGTGGTATGTTTAATTTCATCGACTCCAGGATATTCAGTATTCTGATCTGAACCGACCAGATTTGCAGCGCTTTTCCTCTTCTTCTTGAAGGACTCTTCCTTCAAAGGTCAGGTTGAAGCAATGTGGCCTTCATTGTCACAAAAGAAGCACTCACGCTTAACCGTCTTCTCAAATCTTCCTGCACTGTGAGCTTCGCCATTCTCGTGAATAGTTTTCCGGTACTTACGTTCGTTCTTTGGCTTTTCACAGCTCACCTGGTCATGCTGCATTGCCATATCTCTTGGTTTGCAGACGTACTCTTTGCCGTTACCCATGATAGATGTCATCTACTGTATAGCTTTTTCGAGCTCGTCTCCATAAGCACAGCTGATTTGATCAGTCTTTGCCAGTGACGTTTTTTCTTCAGCTGGGTAATAGTACAAGCAGAAGTACTCCAGTACAATCTTGCTCGCGACCCCATCCATACGACTTGCCATAGATCGTTTGTATTAAATTTCGGATGTCCATGTTACAGATGTTCTCTTTGGCGCTTCCATCAGTCTACTCGGCTGTACTTTGACTCAGCTTACATTTGAATAGAGTCTTCATCTACTCGCACATCCGGTCAAAGTTGAGAACAAGTCTATTGTCAGCGAGATACTTAAAGTGGGCGAAATCTGCGCTACGATATCACATCGACATTGTGCTTAGTCGGTGCTCTTCACCCCATCTGACCAGGTCAAACGTCTCCGGTATGGTGATCTGCACGTTAAATTGGTGCTTGAATGAGTACCAATTCGCACCCAGCCCAGGTGTGCTTTTCCTCTCCATTAAGTTCGATGTAGTTGGATTTTTTGAGTCGATGTTTTCAACAGGAAAATTAACTGCAGATGGGGCAGCTGTTAATTCGGTCTGCACATACAAGATTACTGGGCGAGAGTGCGCAGCTTGCTGTAGTAAATCACGAATTCTTGCTTTAGAGCAGCAATGAGGTTCATAAAATCCTTTTGGTCATACGGTTTCGCAGATGTCTACACAGTGGATGGTCAATGTGAAGATGGAGGTCCGCCAGCGCTGGGAGGGGTGCAAATACATCAATATCCGCAAACTGCTCTACATAGTTCAAGTAATTGACGAAATCGATTTGTATTCGTAATCAATACGTGGGCTTAAAATCTGTTATCGGTTTAACGAATTGTCCGCTCTATAGCTCCGCCCGCGCCGATTTGTTGATTGTCAGGCAACCAACTTTTAGGTTGCCGTTGTTGAAAACTTGCGGGTTAGGATGTAAAAAGTGAACCATAAGGTTTCAGGCTAACTAAAATACACCAATCACTAGCACGCAATAATTCCTCTTTTTCCGTTTGTTCGTGTGTCTTTCATCGAAAACTGGCGATGCGGGAGGCCCAGGAAAACTAATGCGTGCATCATGTTTTATCATTAATCCTAATCACGTGGATACGATGATGCCAGTCACTGATGTAATTAACGTACCTTGTGCCAGATGCAATCTTTCTTCAACAACACTCAGCGTTGGCCGGTCAGATGATGTGAGTAGATATCGGATTTATTAAAATTTTGAATGAGTGCTATAAACCACGATACGTACCCAAAGGTTTCGAAATGCCACCTTCTCAATGAACTGCTCATAATTGTACTTTTATCTTTCAGGTCTTCTTGTTCAAGTACGAGAGCAGAGTCCTTCTCTTTAGTACCTACACACGCGCTAATAAAAATATTCCATCGACCTGATCTCAACTGTAAGGGGGCACCCTTTGTTTGGGGTACCACAAAGCTTCACGTACACGAGTACGTGCAGAGGAAGCTAATCTACTCAACAGCTATGTTGAGTAAAGAGTAAATAGAGAACTGCAATTAACCTAGTTAAGCTATCAACACAACTTTAATCTTTATCGAACTAGATTAAACGACGTCGTCGTATGACGACAACCTGCTCACCACTCATTGTGCGCGTCTAGCTGCGATTGGTGGTAATGTATGGTTGATAATTCTTTTTTTCCAACCAATCTTGGAGCAGCTAATGAATATTATAAATCTAAAAAGGGATGATATTCCTTTAAAATTATTTACCTCGGATAATATTGGTGGAATATTGTCATGCTGGACAATATCCCTATTGACACCGTTTGGTGTCAATTTCATGTAACGGGATACCCCTTTACATCACCCCCCCGTTAAGCATCAATCACCCGTTAATCGAAAAGAATTGATTGGGACAGGGTGACCACCGTCGGATCACTCTGGGAAAGAAGGTACTTGTTGGTCAAATTCCATTCATTTGCCAATCCAACGCATTGTTTCGAAAACCACGCGAGCTTCTACTGCAGCAGCAAGAAGTGCGGCTGCACGTATGCGTGCGGCCGCGGAAAGTGCCTCTCACGCCTCAGCATTAGGAAATTCGTCGCCTGTTGTCGTGGATCCTCCACGTGGTGAGCCACCACGTGCAGCAGGTACATCCGCTGCGTCTGCAGCGGGTACCTCGAATCATATCCAAGATGAGTCCGAAATAGAGCTTATCTATTCTAGCGAGTCGGATGGTGCATCTGACACGAAGGCGACACCTTACGCCTCCGGATCACCCGGGGTGGACACTGCAAGAGACAGGTTGACTAGCTCTGGCCAACGTAGCGGCATCATGCTCGAGATCTTCGGATCGAGCGATCGTTCCGACGAATCCTCGCCTCACGCAAGTCCATCCAACGACAGGACGCGTGAGGATGGTGAAGATGCCTCTGAGCATCACCACGAGCGAAGTAACTCGAGGGATCGGGGTGTCACTGGTGCCAGAGCTCATGCTGGCACCAATCAAGAGGCCAGGGACCGAAAAGCCCTGCACCACGCTCCTCAAGTGGAGTCTCCTTGGATGCCGTCATCCAAAGAGTTCGATCGAGTGACCTGCATGACTACCGAACGGGATCAAATCCCATTGTTCGATTGTAGGAAGATTTACCCACCTGTCAGCACGGAAACTATCCGTGCTGAGGAAGATTTATGCACCTATGTGTTCTTTAAACATCGGTGGTACAATGTCAGCCGTGTATGAGACGGTAGGGCATTGGTGCAAGGATGGAATGTCTCATCCATAACATCGAGTGCATTGGCTGTGAGGCCTGGCTCGCCAAAATTGATGCAGCTCGCGTCAGGTTTGAGAAACGCAACCCAGTCGGGGCGCGATACAAGTTCATCGGCTGTCAAGAGAGGCAGGATTACCCTGTCTCTCGTGGGGTGATTCGTGTCTAGGTTGCCTCGACAACTCGAACTGTGCCCCTAGGGAGGCCTTCCTACCTAATGTTCCCTACTGGACGGCGCGCATCTCTTCTGAAATGGCCGAAGAAATTGACACTTCGCAATCTCTGTCCTCGTGTTCGGGGAGGTCGTTTCCGACGGCCCTTCTTCGAACGGAGCGGGTGAGTCTCGTCACATTGCTTGACGAGACCCAGAACATCAACGCTCAGGTGGGCACGACTCTCCCAGCTGTCCCAGTTCGGTGGATACCCACGCCAGCGGACGAGGTAACTCGCCCGGACGCCGTTCACGTCGCGGTGGTTCAAAATACGCTCCTTTAGAAAGCGTTGACCACCGCGAGAGTCCACCAAAGGATGTGGTGGCGGTGGGAACACCTGATCCGGCTCGAGGGTCGGATCAAGTTGATGTTTAAGAGCTGAACCGGCTAACGGAACAGTTACAAGATGACCTGGATCATGAAGGGACTTGGCGTTATGAGCTTAAGGATCTTGTGAGGGATAATTATAATTCCTTAGCGCACGATCGTTCGGACGATCGTGCCGCGTTTGAGTTCGCGCAACTTGAGAACGAACGTTCGACTCGTTCTCTTCGTGACGAGCTGGCTGCAACTTGTCGCGACATCGCTCAACTGAATGGGCAGGTTGCTTCGCTAGTCGACCTGACTGGCTCGTTGAAACGGGACCACTCGAGGGTGGTCTCGGCTCTTGACCGCGGAGGTGTTCTTCGCATCTCGAAACGGGCTCTTACTGATAGTACAGGCGGATAAGTATATCGTAAAACGTAGGATGCGTACGCCTCTTACGGGGCAGTTCAATCGTGTATGCGCTGCCCATTCGGCGCAACACACGAAATGGACTGATGCACCTGGTCAGTAATTTACTGCTGCCCACGTTTGTCACTGCATGCTTCGGTAAGTTTACTGCAGACAGTATAACTAGGTCTCCTTCATTAAATGAACGAACATTTGCTCTTTCATTTCTGTCTGCGTTTCTTTTCTGTCTTTCTTTTGCATCTGCAAAAGATTCTTGAGAGAAGCGGACAACCGCTTCTCGAGTCAGCAGAAATTACTCTGCTGATTCATCCTTGTCAACAGCAGTGCGCTTCGTGTGCACTGCTAAAAGAACGTTGTCTTCACCAGTGAGGGTGTCATCGTCCCCACTGTGGTATTCATTGGTGATGCTGAATATACTAGCATCGTCTTCATTACCATCATAGATATCGATCGCATCGACATCGGCATCCATCACGACTACACTATTGTCGACGGGTGATGAGCAAGAACCAGATCGGTTTTCGTTCGAGCGAGTACACTCCCCCTCCTTAAACTAGAGTCACACTCTAAGAAGGTGGGTAAAAGTGGATGGCGTAGGTCATTCACAAAGAACGGTGTACACGTTGTCGACGCATGCACCGAGTTGTTGATGGCGAATTTCGCCATCGGCAAGTACTCACTCAACTCGTAAACGAGTGGACATACCCTCGAAGTATCTATTCGAGGACGCGGTTGACGCATTCCATCTGACCATCTGTTTCTGGATGGTCAGAAGTTGACATCTCAAATTTGTTCCAAGTGGACGGAACACAGATTTCCAGAACTCCGCCGTGAAGCGGGGGTCCCTATCGGACACGAGTTCACGAGGTAACCCGTGAAATCGGTGGATAGTATCGATAAAGACACGCGCACAGCCCTGGGCTGTGATTGACTCTGGTACAGCAACAATATGTACCATCTTGCTGAACCGATCAACGAACACAAGAATACTAGTATTCTTGTGAGCGTCTTTGGGAAACCCGAAGATGAAGTCCATCGATACGGACTGCCAATACTCTGCCGTAATGGTAGAGGCTGTAAGGGTGCGCGGGATGAAGGACTAGGCTTCATCCGTTGACAAAATTTGCAAGCGCGAATGTATTTGCGCACAAACTCATACTGGCGGGCCAGCAGAAGTCACGACTCACCATGAGGTAAGTCTTTTCTCCACCACGATGTCAACTTGTTGGGGCATCGTGACACTCATACATGATGCGCAATCGCAATCCATTATAAGCCGGAACGACGACACGCGGTGTGTCGCCGTTGACTGCTGTATGGTACAGCAGTCCATCACGGACAGAATACCTTTCCGTTGAAGAGTGTATTAAGACGCCAAGCTTTTCAAAGTTTGACTGCATGGGCTAGATACGTAATCCATCAATCGCAGAAGAGACTCATCTTCTTCGTATGATTTCCGCACTTCACGAGCAGATTCGACGACGGAATAATCACTATTAGTGTGGTGACAGTGGGATCACCCCTACTGTTGGGTTGAGCAGTCGGCTCGAAATCGGGCCGACGCGAAAGAGCATCAGCGACGACATTGTGTCGTCCTGGTTTACACTCGACGGAGAAAATGTACTCCGCGAAGAAAGAAATCCCCCTCGCCATTCGTTGCGAGAGGTGTGGAATGTTTACGGCCGTGCGTAACGACGCATGGTAGGTATGTACGATGAAGGGTCTGTCTCCTAAGAGATATACCAGAAACTTAGCCAGTGCATTTTACATGGCAAGGAGTTCATTGTCATGCACCGGGTTCTTAAGCTCAGCTTCTTGCAGCTGACGCGATTGATAACAGACGACGCTATCAACGCCGTCTGAGTTGTACTGCATTATCGCGCAGCCGATTGCAAAGACGCTGGTGTCACAGACCACATGGAATGGTCTGTCCTGGTCTGCAATCGCCAACACAGGCGATTGCACCAACCTTTTCTTGATACCTTCAAAATAGTGCTGACACTCAGCACTCCATGACCACCTCTCGTTTTTTTAGAAGATGAGAGGGATGTACGGTCATCTCGGCGTAGTTGCGCGAGTACTTGTGCAAGTACGCTGCCAAGCCAAGAAACTTTCGAAGTCCCTTGACGTCGACTGGCACAGCCAAGTCGGTGATCGCCTTGATCTTTTCCGGATAAGGACGTACACCGTTCTTACCAACGATACATCCAAGAAGTGGTATTTCGCTTGCTGCAAATGGACACTTCTTGAGGTTCGCGAACAACTTATGCTTTCGCATGATTGTAAGAACCGTCCGGACGTGGATTCTATGAATCTCCACGCCCGTCTTTCCATCCATAGCCCGGCTATGGACGAAATCATCGTCGAAGTAACTCGGTGCGAAAAAAATCGCGCACTGGCGCAACAGATTTGTAACACATCTGCTAAACGTTGCAGGGGCGTTACTTAGCCCCTGTGGCATCACTAGCCACTCCCAGAGCATACCACTGGGGTGCTCACTGCTGTGTACGCGATATCCCGTTCACGCATGAGGATCTGATAGAATCCATCCATCAGATCCATGGATGCAAATATGGTACTTTTTGCCATACCATCTATTATGACATCCTTACTCGGTATCGGCGTTTGAGCCGGTACTGTTGCAGCGTTCATTTTGTTGAACGCGTGCACTATCCGCCACCCTCATGTGGCCTTTCGCACACAGAAGTTAGGAGAGTTGTGTGGGGATGTTGATTCCCTCACATGACCAGCCGCTAAGAGATCGGCAAATACTTGTCGATCGCTGTGAACTGTTCACGAGGCATTGTTCACTGCTTCATGACACAGTATTTCGAGCCAGGTTCCAAATCGATCTCATGCTGAGTGCCTTTGTCCTTGGGCAGCTCGCATGGCACGGATTCCGGGAAAACATTCTTAAATTCAACCACATCCTTTTACAAAGAATTTTTCCTTAAAGACTCCCAAGATTGAGACGTGTATCACTTAATCCGAGTCTCCTCATCGAGGAAACTCTCGTCCATCGATAAACTACTGTAAACCCGTTCGTTATCAACAAACACTTGTGCCGACCGAATATCGGTGACGTACTCGTCCTCTGTGACGAGTACGCAGATCTGCTTGATCTTGTCACTACGCAGATCTCGCAAGAATCTTTGAGATTCTAGCGTCGAACTTGATAACGTCTGAAGCTGAATTCAAAGTTGTAACCAGATCAAGTGTATAAGCGCCTACATTTGATCCGTCATTCACCCAGACATTAACTGACTCGGCGAATTCCTATAAAAACACATCCGCACGTGGTTGGGGATCCACACCCTCAACATAACTCTCTCGGGAGTTATTGCTCTCAGGAACGCCGGATTTTTCTTCCGTTACGTGTACTATCACGGTCACGTCCTCTTCGGTCGACTCTTATCAGTCGAGCGGGCTAGCTATACGATCGACTCTATGATAGTCGATCTCGCTTCGGCGTGTTGTTCATCCTGAACAACACTAATCTCTCTTCTCGGATGCACTCTTCTTGGTGTGCATTCGTGTTCCAGCCCACTCGATCTCTTCGAGTGGTGAACCTTTGGCGCAGCCTGTCTCTCTACACAGGTTCCGGAAGCTGGTTTCACAGTGTAGTGGCCTTCTACACTGTGATCTTGTGCAATCGTACTAAAAACCGTACCACAAGTGAGGCCATCGCACTCACTCGTAGTACATCCACACGCCTGTGAAGCTCCAACGCGTTCATCAGATGGCCATCTGATGAACAAATGGCAGGCATCTTCACGGATCAATGCTGCCAGCTGACCCATGGCTGGTTTTTTCTGAGCCATGGCAGACCGAGGATGACATCAAATGTGTCATCTAAATCTAGTACGATGAAGGTATCATCGTACTGCTTCCCTTCTAGCGTGTAGTGGATTCCCACTACAGGTTTGTTCACTGTTACGGATGCGACTGTAGCAAGGCACACCGTCATCCTCGTTGGAGGGAATTCTCGCTCAACAAAGTTGAGTCTATTATCTCCTAGCGACCGGCGTAGAATAAAACTATTCGATGACCCACAGATAACTATGGCGCGAGTTGACATTACACTTGTTACTTCGATCTTCAAAGTGATGAGAGTCTCCTCATCACTAGGGGCAGTAACACACAGAGACTGCGTGTTGGGAGAGATCTTCGTCAAGAGTCCTGCAAATTCTCTTGACGTTGCTGGATCAGCAAAGTGCTCCGCCACTACTGACCCTGACCGTGTTTTTATGGTCCGACTTGCTGTCGCGGCTTAGCGACATGGTCAGACCCACGCCTTGGACCCTTCCTTGGCCAACGGTGGTCATCACTTCCTGTCTTTGGACGTGTTGCAGTGCTTGGGACACTACACTCATGAGCGTAGTGTCCGATCTTCTGACAGCGATGGCACATTGCCGATTGCTTGTGGCTCGGAGAGCGAGAGTTCTCGCTCTCGTTGTAACAGAGGTCCGTAGGTTCGGATCATCCTGTTTCCTGTCGTCCCGTCGGACGATAGTTTGACGAGTTAGCCTGAGACTGTCTCAGGCTGAAGTCTTTCTTGTTCCGCATACGCCATCGCCTATTCCAGCGTATGGAAGTCCTCTCGGAACATGTACGTCTTCACCGGCCCATCCACAAGGCCGTAGATGGACACGTTGATGAGCGTATGCTTATCAACAGGGTATGACGTGACGCTACTTGCAAGGTAGCGCAGGTGCTGTGAGTAAGCGTGCACGTCACGCTTACCTTGCTTGAGCCTCAGGAGTGCAGAGCGTGCTCTGGACTCGGCTCTCGGCGGCTCAAACGTCTCTTTGAGCCGAGACTTCAAGATCTCTAACAACTCAAACATGTCTGGGTCGTGAAACTTGAGCCCTAGGCACAAGACTTTGCTCGTCCTGTCAAATTTGACAGGGCGAAGGTGACTTGCGTCTCGTCACCCTCGATGTGACGGGCCCTGATGGCATCGTCAAACTCGACGATCCATCAAAATGAAATCATCATCGGTTCCCTTGTACCTTGAGATATCTATCTTCAAGGTTTCGGGTCGACACCTGTGCGTCGGCCTGCCCATCGACTGATGAGAGCCATTCTTGTGACGTAAGGCTATATTCTGTCTTTCGACGGCAAGTTGCCCTTGTTGGAACGTGTTGATAGCGGCGTGTTTCTGGTCTCCGTTCAGAATCTCCAACATGCCACTGATGGCGGGTTCGCCCATGAGCACACTCATGCGTCCGACTACTTCCCATTCTGAGTCACTCAGATGGGAGTAGTGTTCACGTGTGACGTGAAAGCTGTCGTCTTCTACGTTCAACACGTCCATGTTGGACGGACACTAAGAAGTGTTGGACAGACTACGAAGTGCTACCAATTGTTCAGGGACACCTTTTTGTTTGGGGTACCACAGAGCTTCACGTACACTCGTACGTGCAGAGGAAGCGAATCTACTCAAACCGCTAGTTTGAGTAAAGGGTAAAAAAGAACTGTATTTAACATAGTTAAGCCACAATACAACTTCATTCTTTATCCAACTATATATAAAATTACGTTGTCGTATGACGACAACCCGCTCACTACCCATCACGCGCGTCTAGCAGCGATTGGTGGTAATCTATGGTTGATTTGTCTTTTATCAACCGTTCTTCGAGCAGCACGTGGATACTATCCAAAAGGGAATAATGTTCCTTCAATATTACCCATCTCGGATAATACTGGCAGAAGATTGTCATGCTGGACAGTAAGCCTATTGATCCCGTTTGGTGTCAATAATATGTAACAGGCTACCCCGTTACATCAACAATTCATCAATTTTATCCGTGCGCGAATGTAATGACCAAATGATGAGTCAACTCAGAAGGAGGCCAAGCATGATATGACACAATACGCGCGCTATATTTTTTCTAATAGAATTATGTAGCTATGAGGAGACTGCAACTGATTCCTGGCCGCGTTTGGTGTAGTACTAAGACCTGCATTTGTATAAGTGACAATAAGAAACTATGTCTATAGATTACTGAATTAAAATTTTGCGCTGTTAAAATCTTTGGCCACTAAATCCACAACGTTACGGAACGAGCGCTGTGCAGGATTTGAGTTAGTTTTTCCCGTCGCATCAAACCAAGTTTACCTAGCAACTCTACTGCTAAATGAAAATGCTCGACCACTAGAATTAAGTTGTTGAGCCTAATAAGTTCGTTGCGTTTGTCGTACAGCATAGGCTAGAACCAGGATGACGGACATAGTAAGATATGGACCCATCGACAAATTAGCATACTTTAACTGATCTTTGAAGCCTCCGCCGGTTGGCATACCCCTCCCGTTTGGCACACATTGTACCTGATACCGTGGGTTCTCGTCAAATTTGTAAGTGTAAGTAGTACTCGTATTGCACGTTACCATTCATCTTCTAGATTCGACGAGTACCAATTCGAATCATAGTGGTACCTTGGTGATCGTCGGGTTGATGTCAACGACCCACAGGACATCAGCCGATGTCATGACGCATGGCATATAAACTGAAGTTGATACATCACAATGATCGGAATATTGTCACTGCGAGCGCTTTCTCCACTAAACGATTGATCGTTCTTGAAACGTGACGCTATGATACGCAGAACGGATGTATACCATACATAATCTACAATTAACATTGTAACGATTGCTCCATCCATTTCAACCTATTTGTCCCTTTTCGGGAAAAAAAACTCAACACCAGCTCGTTTTTAAGATCCTGATTGGCTAATGCACCTAAAAAGAATCTTATTCTGCTCTCTATCAGCTCGTGTTAGTCTCGTTATATTTCAGTCGCCGCAAGCCGAGTATTTTGCGCTTGGAAACCCACCATTTATGAAAGTTTTGACGCCGAGGTCGATTGCGATGCTTTCATGCCACCCACATCAAGTGCGAGGGCTGATAGAAGAGTTGAGAAAAGGGCGTATACCACTATTTGTGCTTGGATGTCTAAATCACCCGTAATAGATCATCGCTGCATCTTAAAATAGACGCATCTCTTAGCTTAATTCAAACTAATTTACCTTTACAACAACATTACATTTATTACTATCAAGAATATCAGTTTAAAAGGTTCCATGTGATGGCTAAATTAGATAAGCCGCCATTTGTCTTTTTAAATGTACTCAGACAAAACGGACAAAGAGTATCAAAAAATCGCTCGATTAAAGACAAAAACATTGAATCGAGGGAGCAATGACCACGTCAACAAGATATGTCATGTGATCATAATGGCAGCTGCCAGTGTGAAGTGCATCGAAAAGTGCATCCATCACAATATGTCGCGATCGAAACAATGTGTCATCCGCGATTTAGGAGAATTCACGCCAAGATCCAGATACCGGTATCACCATCGAGTGCACAGCGACGCGTCTAATTATCAGAAGTAGCAGGTGAATCCCGCCATCGTCCCTCATTCGACAAACAAACACAATCCGCCACGCTCAAACCTTCCCTAATTCGGTCCCTACTTTAGGTTAATAGCTCCAGCCATCCCTCAAGTCTCCGCACAAAACGAGATGGCAGCGCTTCTCCAGACTGCAGCGTCCCACGTCCGCGTCCCTCGCGCCTCTGACCGCGTGTACCGTGACGAGTGCGTCTTCTCCTTTGACTCTCCGCTCGCTCCCTCTGGTCTCTACACGAATTTGCACTCGTTCCTGTCGTACGGAGCTTCCAGTCTCGCTTTTGACCGCAGCGACTCGGCCGTCTACTTGCACCAGCACCACCAGCGCAAGATCAAGCCACGCACTTCCCACAATGGTGCAGAAACGCCCACGAAGCTCGCGATTGGTGGTGCTGGAGGCTTTGCCGCCAGTGTAGACGATAAATTTGAGCTTGACAAAACACTTTCCATTGTTCTATTGGACTCGGAGCTACGAGAGCTTGTCCGCGTGCCTTTAGACGCTCCAGATGTTCCTATTCGGGTAAAAGAAGCTGCTGATGCTGTGCTGCACCATGCAGGAAACACTGTCACGGAGGAGGTGGCGTCCTGGCAGGAGGAGCTGAAGCTGTCCAAGTATGCAGACCATCTGGAGCAGCTACCATCTCCACCCCAGATTGCGTCCAACCCATTGGCGTGGAAGTGTCAAGGGCCTCAGTGTGATAAGCAGGAGAACTTGTGGCTCAATCTCTCGGACGGCTACATTGGCTGTGGTCGGCAGAACTGGGATGGATCCGGTGGATGTGGTGCTGCTCTGACGCACTTTAGCGAGGCGGGAGGAATGTACCCGCTGGCAGTCAAGCTAGGTACGATAACTGCAGAAGGAGGCGATGTGTATAGTTACGCTCCTGATGAAGATGATATGGTCAAGAATCCGCACTTGGCTCGGCATTTGGAACACTTTGGCATTAATATCAACAATTTGCGCAAGACGGACAAGTCAATGGATGAACTGCAAGTGGGACTGAATTTGTCGCATGAGTTTGATGCTGTGACGGAGGTCGGGAAGAAACTTGTGCCCGTGTCTGGGGCAGGATATATAGGTTTTAAGAACTTGGGGAATAGTTGCTACATGAACTCGGCGCTGCAGCTGCTGTTGGCGTTACCAGAGGTTCAGGAACGCTATTTTAAGGATACAGATAAGATTTTTGCCACGGTAGACACGCCGTCAGCGTTACCCGTGGACGATTTTGCGGCACAGTTTGCCAAACTTGCGAATGCAGCACTTACGGATCGATATGAGAAGCACTATCTCACGCCTAAGGACAGCAGCAAGGATGTGGAAGAGGACGACATCCACAATATCGATTTGCGACCGACAACATTCCGTGCCCTTGTCGGCAAAGGCCACCCAGATTTCTCGACGGGCCAGCAGCAAGATGCTGTGGAGTATTTGCAACATCTACTGGACTTTATGACTCGAGTCGAGCGTGTAAGTACGGACCGCTTAGGACCACTTCTTCCAGGAGGTAGTGCTACAAGTGCGGAGCAGCCGACTGCAAGTTTGTTTAAGTTCAAGCTGGAAGACCGTGTGCAGTGCATGTCTTCAAGTAAAGTCAAATACGTGCCGCGCGACGACACGGTCTTACAGTTGCAAATCCCCCTGGAGGCAGCCACCAACGCGACACAGGTGACTGCATACCAGGTGCTAAAGCAAAAGCGCCAGCGCCTTGTCGACAACGGAAAGTCTGAGAGTAATACGGCCACAGATCACGTCGAGCGTGTGGTGCCCGATGTTCCGTTTGAAGCTTGTGTTGCAAAGACGTTGGCACCCGAAATTATTGACGACTTTTTGTCTCCAGCAACGGGCAAGAAGGGCCAAGCACAGAAGACGGTTCGCTTTCGCTCATTCCCGCGTTACTTGCTTGTGCAAATGAGACGCTTTTACGTAGCTAAAGACTGGACGCCTAAGAAGCTTGAAGTCGAGGTGAAGGTACCTGAATGGTTTTCACTTACAAGATTTTTGTCCAAGGGTCTTGTAGATGGTGAGGAGGAAATGAAGGATGGGCTTGCAGCCAATGTGGCGAGTGAAAGCGTCGTTACTACCGTGACGGACACTGCGGACGAAGCTTTAGTGGCTCAGCTAGTTGCCATGGGTTTCTCTGAAAATGGCTGCAAGCGCGCGGCGATTGCGACTGGCAACGCCAATGCTGAAGCTGCGATGGAATGGATTCTTAGCCACATGGATGATCCGGACTTTGACCATCCACCCCCACCAGCACGTTCTGTATCCGCGGCTGTTGGCGAGTCATTTAACATGGAGGTTGTCTCCAGTTTAATGGCAATGGGCTTTGCAGAGTCTCACGCTAAGTGTGCGCTAAAGCAAACGGAGAATGATCCTGATCGCGCAGCGGAGTGGTTGTTCAGTCGTATGGATGATTTGGACGGTGCTGTCGCCGACTGCAATCGCGGTGCAGCGGCATCAGTCGTCTCCACTGATGATAGTGGGTCCTCCGAAAATCGTCTGGACAGCGAAGTAGTCGGTGATTTCTCTCTTGTAGGTTTTGTCAGCCATGTTGGCAAGAACACCAATTCTGGGCACTACGTTTGCCACATGAAGAAGGATGGCCGCTGGATTATCTTCAATGATGACAAGGTGGCCGTGTCAAAGGAGCCGCCGCTAGGTGCTGGATATCTTTACTTGTTCCGTCGCACCGACACGCTTGCCTAAGATGAAGAAGTCAAATGAATCAGGCGCAACGGTGGCAAGAATTACCTGAATCCGTCTCGGTGCGCTTTTTCGTTGATTCTGCAGCCTCGCCAAATCTTCAGCAGTTCGCTTTCGCTAGTCTTTTCGTATTTGGTTATCGATATACGGATGATGGAACCTGGGGCTGCTTCGTCCAAATTCGTCCAGCGCGTTGTCATCTCCTCAACCTGTTGGTCATTCTCTGCATTCATAGTCGCATGTTTCCAATTCAAGATGTGACGATAGAGCTGCGTCGCGTTGCCTCCATGCCCCCGCTGCGGAACGTAACGACCGACTGGGGATGTGCGTATTGAAGAAACGTTTACAGCTTGGAAGAACAGCATACAACCTAGCATAGTTGGGCAGCACATCTCTTGGGTACAACGTGGGTAGGTCCGGAGAACTGCTCCATGCAGAAGAAATGGACCACGAAAAAGGTGGCACATGGGTTCAGCCACCTCAATGTCAACCTTCCGTGCTACTCTTCGAATGCGTGTGCATGCTTTTCGTAATTCCTTACTTCGTTCCAGCACTTCAAAGGTTGCGGTTGGCGGCACATCCTATGCTCGACATTACGCTTTCATTCAAGTTTAGTGTGCAAAAAAGCGCATGATGCAGGGCGCTCTCGAACCAGCTGCTCGGTAGTGTCTAGCCCTGATGGATGACGACCAGCTGCGCCAAAATGAATGACGTCAGTAGAGCCCGAGTATCCTCTTTATCTGTCTCAACAAGTGTCTTTCCAGCCTCTTTCCACAATGTAACTCGGGCGTCAAGCGAAGGGATGCTCATGAACACGTCTGCGTCTCCTTGACCTTGTGAAATGTACACTTGCGCTTGTGGGTCATGCTGGAAAGAACATCATCACAGTTCATACGGTGAATACGACCATCAAGTTAGAAGCTGCTTCGAGACGTACCGTTTTTACTTGCTTCGTCAGCTCATCTTCATCTACTTGACCCAAAAGGAGGCTGCTCTTTTCCTTGAAGTCAATACCCTTGAGCGTACTGGCGGTATCGGAGTTACCTATCAATGGCAATTTGCGCTTTTCCGACATCTTCGGCCTGACTTCATCACCCACACTAGTAGGCGACAATATGGCGCTTGGACATGGTTCCAACACGTACGCTTTGCGCTTCACATTGAGTACACCATTCACACAGGCTGCAGCTTTTCCACTAACCTCGGTAATCGTGATCTGTGCAGCAAGCTATGCAAGATTGAACATGTGCTTCCGGTCAACTCATGAAAACGACATTGCACGTGAACGGCACAGTTACCTTAGAGTCGAGTCTTCCATCCAAATACTTCGACACTTTTTCGATCACAATCGGCTTGAACTGTTCCATGGGAAACGTAAGGAGCTCCGCTTTTGACTTCGCCACTGTCAACTCGTGAAGTGGAAGTACTTGTGAAAAATGCGATGATATTTCGGCCTCTTCCATTGTACTTGCTGGTGGTGCAATGGTGTACTCGTATGGAACAATCAGGTTGTGAGGGGAGCAGCGTGCAATCAACTGATTGGCGTCGCCACAGCTCAACCGTGGATCGATCGGACAAACAATCTTCTCAATCTTCAAGTCCCGGAAAGGAGCGAACGCCTGTATTGGATCGACAGATGCGTCTGTATACACAATGCCGGTAAGTAACCGAAGCAGTCGTCATCCGAAACGGTACGTTGTGCTTCTACGACGTACCTATCAGAAAAACTGCGTTGCGACTTTCGTTTCCCAGTACTTGAATCAGTTCTGGTGCCTGTCCAAATTTGAGGGACGGGTGCCTCACGAAGAGAATGCTCCCGCCCTACATGCGCGTGATAAGTAGATTACACTCAACGGGTATGAACACGTTCTCATGCACGAACCTGTAACGCAGCGGCTGAGGCAGCCGACACATCGCCGACTGCATGGAACAAGTTGCGTTCGATCAGGTTCTCGTGTAAGAATGCGTTTTCACCAGCATACAGCTTCTCAATCTTCTTCTCGCAAAGCCACTCGGCTCCAAGATGAGTAAGCTCCATAATGCGCGAAGCACAGTCTGATATAAAGTACATCGGTACATTCTGCTTATTGTTGAGGCACAAAGCATGGGTGGCCTCTATAAGATCAAACATCACGCCACAAGGCGACGTAGGTACAATGCAAACGCCACCGCGATCGAGCACATGGTTCAATCCGCTGAGTACACGAGCCACCATATGTTCCGTGTTGGAACGAGGATCTCGATCCGGTCTCAGGTCCGTCAAAAGTAGTGTCTCACAGTCTACCAGCGGCAAAAGGTCTAGCTCTTTTGGATGACGATTGTAGTCTCCTGAGGACGTAGCCACATACGCCAGTTGGTCGTTTGGCCCTTCCACAAGCCATATACTCGCCCCCAAGCTATACCCGGAGCTCAGTGCTGTAACCTGAACACCGTACGACATGGGTACCTTCTCACTGTACTCTACACAGCGAACTTTCTTGCAGCATTCATCAATCTCTTTCATCGAGTACATTGGAAGTTCGGTCTCCAGACCGTCGGCCACACCTTCAAAAGTGAAAACAGCAGAACTCTTGCCGTGACTTAACGCTGTCAGCTCCTCCATGAACACGCGACCAAAGTCCAGGGTGAGTTGCGTGGCGTAGATCTTCCCTTTAAAGCCTAGGTCCTCAGTCAACAGTGGCAGGGCCAGCAGAGTGAGATGGTTGGACAGAAGCACCACGTCCAGAGCGCCCACATCAACGGAGCTTAGGGCTGGAAGCTGTAGACGGTAGGCAAAGCCTCCTCCTGGTTTTCTGTCGCACTGAAGCGACTGCAATTTTACTCCGCAGTCCAAAAGCATTTCAAAGCCGCCAAAGCTCAAAAAATAGCAGAGCCCGTCATTTGCGCCGCCCAATTGAATCTAATACGCATAGGTGTGAGAAATTAGAACCAGTTTGAGATAGAGCGGAAAAAGAGCTACAAGAAGCGCATCAAATTGAAGCGATCGAGTGGCTGTGGGAACAACGAGAAGCGCTTGAAGGTGGCGCGAGGAGGTCGGCTTACCACTTTCATATTGCGAGTCAATGGGATATTTAGTGAAACAGAAATGAGTCCAAGCTGTCCGTTCACACCGCGTGTAAGTATACAATAGCTCCAGGACAACGGACATTTTAGGAAGCAGTTGATCTGAAAGAGTGGGCTGGTCTAAACTAAGGGTCGTTTACGAATCAGACTGCTGCTTGAAAACGTCATGATTTGCTCTCTCTAAACGCGGTATGTCATCTTGAGTTGCCCCCACCCGACCAGAAGCTGTCGATACGAGAGAAAAGCACTAGATCATAATGTCTGCAATGCATTAATGCAAACTAGCAAGAGGCAGAGAACCTCGACACATTACCGTTTCATATCCATTGCCATTTCCTAGCCAGCACCTCGTTACACAAATGACTGAAGTGTGCACATAGATATGATGCGCGTCATTGATGCACTCTCCAGCCATTTGTATTGAGATTCGTCCGTGATGCATGTCGAAGTCATTAGAGTGCTGAGACTTTATCTACAGCGAGCTCAATATCTCCCAAGCCACACATAAACTGCTGTGGTAAGGAAGAGGTAAGTTGGGCTGCAAAATGCAAGCTTGAGATCGCATCTTGAGCGAGACAGTCGTGCATTGTGGTACGCTAAGTTTCGTCGGTTTCCTCCCATGTTGCTGTCCGATATTCGATCAGCGCATCACATTTGCCTTGATGCAGATTTGCTGTTCAGGCTAACAAACTTGCAACCTGTCTTCATGTGGGAGGAAGATATGCACGTTGTATTCGTACGCTGCCTAGTAGGCGGTTGTAAGAGAAGCAACGGCTTACTGTTGTATAACTCGAGGATGACCACCATGCGGCGACGCGGTCTCCAAAGGTATTGTGGTTTCTGTTCAAAAATGGATCGTCCTTCCGGGCGAGTTTGAACAACTTGTCACGCTCTAACACATACCAAACACCTCATCTTTGTGAGGTTGCTTGATGTGATACCTGGTCCAACTTTGGTGTGCCAGCGGTCTCGATGCTGCATCCTGTGTCGAGAATCGGTCAAACGATCAAGAAGTATCGTCTGCTGCAATTGTACGCGGGTCCACCTCCTATCGACATGCACTTTCCTACTCGACTGCAAGCGAGAGTACAAGTAGATCATGTCATGGAAACTACACAGGCAAACGCACGTCCAGTCTAAGATAGCCTCGGTATACGAGAAGACGAACATATTCTGGCTCTGGCACGATTCGAATGACCCCAAACTTCCTGCTCCGTTGTCGATTACATGTTGTCGCTACTGTTGAAGATCAGGATGAAGAGTCACGATGTGCGGCACGACATGTCAGATCAAGTTGGTGTCGGCGACTGTTTGCATGTGTAAAAGAGGACAGTCGACAGATGAAGGGGCTGCAAAGATGGGTGAAGAAGCTTGCAGTTGCCAACAGACAGGGAGCGCGTCATCGGAGTGGTGGCGAATGGAAGCGCAGCGACAGTAAGTCGACCTAGTAAGAGCGGCAGATACAGAGACATAGTGTGCGAGATAGCGAGCAGAATAGCTAGGACATAACGGCACAGTTTGAATATCAGTTTCCTTTCTACCACATCAAGTGCAAGCTCAACATTGGCTAACAGGTTATGAACGCAAACCCCATGGCTCCTCCGACTGATAGAATGACGACTTCTGCACCTGCAGACCATGGCCACGAAAAGGCCGCCGTTGTTAGAGATGTGTAAGCCAACAAAAGGGGTGCGGGACCTACGAAAGGATACTAACAATGCTGATTGCACTCACGGATCGCATGCAAGCGCTCGAGGCGTCGCAAATGAAGATCGACGAGGACGAGCGACTGCGAGGCGCGATCACCAGTGGCTTTTTTGCGTCAGCGCTGGGACTCGACATTGGCGGTACGACTCTACATCGTGACGCGCTAGGACATGATGCTCTGAGGCAGCCGCGTGTACGTGTTTGCGTGACGCAACCAGGTGACTCGCTATTCCAGCAGTTTGTTCCACAGTATGTCGGTCCGCAACAGCCAACGGGCGCTGATCGACCACAGGCGCCGCGCTATGCGCCAGTGTTGCCTCCAGATTTTGAAGACATTCATGCGCCCGTGCCACCAATGCAGCAGGCACCGACACAAAGGTTGCCGTTGCGTGCCCCGGACGCACACCAATGTAAGCTTATTATTCGCAAGTTTGATGGTACAGAACTGTACCAGGGTCTCGGATCGGGTTTTGCTGACTGGAGTCGCACGTTCTTGCGCCAAGTCACTATGGCGCAGCAGGCCCGCGGATTTGCATGGGCTGAAGTTGTCAAGGTTGACTTGCTGGGACACTACCTAAGTGGGACAGCAGAGCGGTACTACCATAAACAAGTGGACGTTTGGTGGCTCGAAGAAGACTTTCTCGATCACGCTATGGGCCGGTTGCTACACACATTCAAGACTACAATCACGGCGTCGCAAAGCATAAAACTTTTCACTGCAAGGAAAGATCCCAAGAGACCTTGGCCTGAACACTACCTGTATATGGTTGCTGTATGTGATGCCTGCGGTGGAGGTGCAGAAGCACAAGTTCTCGACAACATTGTCCACTATGCGTCGGCTGATCTTACAACAGTTTTGATGGCCAAGTACACCAATGACCGACACGATCATTTGCGCCAAGCTGAAGAGCTTGCGCATTTTGCACAGTCTGTTGAGCTCGAAAACAAGACCGGAAGGACGTTGGGACGCGAGTTAGTCGCCGCTGTCACTGATGAAAGACGTCGCAAGGAGACGCATTCATGCTACAATTGTGGCAAACAAGGTCATTTGAAGATTGACTGCAGGTCAAAAAGGAACGTCAACAAGAGCGCCAAGAACGACGGCGAGGTGGTTCTTGCTGTTAATGACGACAGCGACAATTCGAACGACGACTGGATACTCGACAGCGGTGCCAGTCGACACCTGGTGAACGACGATCGCCTGCTGATCGACTCAGAGATTTGCAATGTTGTAGTCTCGCTAGCTGATAACGAGAAGGTCGGTCTGTCCAAGGTCGGTAGTGTGAGACTCTCCGTGGCTGCCAATGGACAAGAAAAAACAGTCAAACTCACGAACGTCTACTATTCACCGAGTCTGGCCCGCAACATCATCAGCTATGGCAAGATTGATTAAAAGGGATACAGTCTTAAGTATTCTAATGGCAAACGATCAGTAGCTCGACGGAGTGATGGCCAGGTGATCGTTTGCCATTAGAATACTTAAGACTGTATCCCTTTTGATCAATCTTGCCATAGTGTGCTAATCGTCGAGACGGTGAAAAAGAGTGTACGCCAAAAAGAGACAGCGGATGTCATAATGGCTGCCATTCAGGAAAAGGCAGCAGATGAAATGACTTCGGAGATGCATCGTGGCTCTCTGCTACACTTTCATCAACGCCTGGGGCATCTGTCGTACGATGCAATTGAGAAGGTCGCGAGAAATCCAAGCTCGGGTATCGAGCTGACGGACCACAAACGGATGACATGCATCACGTGCGCACAATCCAAGCAGACAAAAAACAAGCAGAACCAGAAAGACTCTGGACAGAACGCCCCGATCGACCGCATCGGCGGTGTCATCTGCTCGGACCTAAAAGGCCCACTAACGCCTGCGGATCGACTCGAAAACCGATATCTGATCAACTTCATCGATTACAAGACCAACTACTGTCGAGTTTTCTTAGCTCGAACCAAGGACGCTGCGGCAAAGAAGTTCGAACACTTCTTGGTGTTCTTTGAGCGACGATTTGAGTGCAGAATCGCGGTTCTCAGAACAGATAGCGGTGGAGAATACCAGAATGTTGACCTGTTTTGCAATTTGACAGGCGTTGCAAGACAAGTGAGTGAAGCGCGAAATTAATCGTCGAATGGGAAAGCCGAGAGAATGCACAGGACCGTTTTAATTATGACACGAGCGATGATCTTCGCGTCTGGATTGCCCCTAACGTTCTGGGGTGATGCCGCTGAATACTCCACGTATATTCTGAACAGGAGCCCCACGAATTTGAATCCTTAGAGAGCGTCGCCGCTTGAAGTTCTCACGAAGAAATCGCCGGATTTGCGCAACATCGTCGTGTTTGGCTCCCACTGTACCGTCTACCGTGATCCAAGCAAGAACGCGTTCGCGCGCCGCGCTCAAGTGGGCACGATCGTTGGATGCAGTGACGAAACCAAAGGTTTCAGAGTATTCATCAGGAAGGAAAACAAGGTCATCACGACGCAGCATGTCAAGAATATTGAAACGTTGTCTGAAGCCCAGAACAGGCAGCTGCAACTAGCCCTTGATGACGATGACCGGGCAGATTCAGACGAAGGCACTGAGACACCTGTGAGACAGAGCAGTAGTGTTACTGCGAGCAAGAAGCCCAAGAAGATGAAACAGTGGACTCGCCAGCCACACGTGACAAGAGGTGCGGCAAAGAAAGCAGATGCAAGCCAACAAGAAGTAGCTGTCAGCGCAGATGTCGTCAATCACGTGTTCGAAAGATATCTTCGCAACCATGGCTAAGAGAAACGAGTGGCAAAAAGCAATGCGTGAGGAGCTGGACGCGCTCAAAAGAAACAAAGTGTAGCGTTTGGCGCTCCGATCAAGCAACAGCAACGTTCTCCAAAGTAAATGGGTCTTTAAGACCAAGACGACTGCCGATGGAGATTTGGAAAGACACAAAGCGCGCATCGTTGTCTGCGGTAATAACAAGTCTTGGCGTGGACTACGCGCTAACTTTCGCTGCCTTCATGGACATGACGACAGTGAAAGTATTCTTGGCGTTAGCTGCTACATGGGACATCCCGGCTAAGCACGGAGACGTCCCTAATGCTTACGTAAAAGCAGAGAAGGAACAGCATCTCGAAATTTTGATGCATGTTCCCAAGGACATGACGATTGATACAAGAGAGTTAAAAGAACTGGGGGCAACGAAGATTGAAGATGTCGTGCTTGAACTGAAGAAAAGTCTTTATGGCTTAAAGCAAGCAGGGCGATTGTGGAGCCAATTGCTTAACAATCGCTTATTGGAAGCCGGATTTACTCGCTGCATCAGCGACCTCTGCTTGTATTACAAGCGCGACATCGATGGAGTCGTCATCGTCGGAGTCTACGTAGACGATTTGCTAGTGACTGGAACATCCGCTGTTGCAGTTGACGGTTTTTTCGCGAGCCTCGAAAGTCTTTCGATTAAAGATCTTGGACCAGTGTCGAAGTTTTTGGGGATGCGCGTGACGCGCAACGAAGATCGTGGATATTTTCTTGACCAGGAGGAGGCGATTGTCGACTTGCTGCGTGACCACGGCATGACCAATGCCAACTCAAGTCGTGCGCCTATCGGGACAAATGTTTATGAAGTTCAATGTGCAGACAGCGGACTACTTGCAGACACGGGTGCTCCAGGTCAACCTAGCGTTCGTGCTTTTCAGTCTATTGTCGGATCGTTGCTCTGGGTAGCGAGGTGCACAAGACCCGACATCGCATTTGCGGTGCACAAGGCAACCAGACAAACACACGAGCCACGGATTCATGACTGGAAATTGGCTAAGCGCATCGTGCGCTATCTGAGTGGCACGCGTGGATTGAAGATCAGCATGAAGCCAGCAGTCGAAGAAACTGCACAACCTGTTTTAATGAGCTACAGTGACTCAGACTACGCAGCCGACAAGGCAGACAGAAAGTCTTTGACCGGTAGCGTTATCATGCTGAATGGAATGATAATCAGCTGGTGCTCGAAAAAGCAAGGAGGTGTGGCGCTCTCGACAATGGAGTCGGAATTTGTGGCAGCGTCTGAAGCTGGACGAGAGCTACTTGGAGTGAGAGAGACGCTGAGTGAAATTGGTGAGTCGCCTGCACTACCGATGAAAATGCTCATTGACAACCAGGCAGCGATACGGCAGATTGAAGGAGAAGCGTCGTCTACTAAAGCCAAGCACATTGATGTGAGAGTCAAGTACTTGTGCGACTACGCTCGTCGAGGCATTGTGGTGCCACAATATGTGCCGAGCGACCTGATGCTTGCGGACGTACTCACCAAAGCACTCGATGCAGTCAAGACGGTCAAGTTGCGTTCACTGCTACACATCGTGTAAGCGCAGTGTAAGTCGCCGACAAGGAGGAGTGTTGAAGATCAGGATGAAGAGTCACGATGTGCGGCACGACATGTCAGATCAAGTTGGTGTCGGCGACTGTTTGCATGTGTAAAAGAGGACAGTCGACAGATGAAGGGGCTGCAAAGATGGGTGAAGAAGCTTGCAGTTGCCAACAGACAGGGAGCGCGTCATCGGAGTGGTGGCGAATGGAAGCGCAGCGACAGTAAGTCGACCTAGTAAGAGCGGCAGATACAGAGACATAGTGTGCGAGATAGCGAGAAGAATAGCTAGGACATAACAGCACAGTTTGAATATCAGTTTCCTTTCTACCTCATCAAGTGCAAGCTCAACATTGGCCAACAGCTACTGTGGACGATTAGCACACGCGACCGGAGAAGACCTCGTCCTCAAAAAGCCAGATCTGTACGAGCTGATCGATCGTTCGGGATCGCGTCACTTCTAGTCTGCGCATTCACATTATATGCTAGCACAGGAACGATACTGTCTTTAGCCATCGGGGTAGTAGTAGCTTCATTCCATTCGATCTTAAGATCAGTGCGACTTTGCGCAATCATCGTCCTCGTGACATGCGAACACTGAAGTGAGCCAACTTTCTTGCTTTCTGATGCGGCACAATGTGAATGAACGCAGCGACTGGAAACGAAACGAAAACAGAGAAGTTCGTCCAATATCTGCCAGCACTCGCGTGCTGTGCTTGCGAACACGAATCAACGTTTGGCGGGTGTTTCCGTACGTCAGATGTCCTTGGAACCACACTGCACGAACGAGGAGGCGTTGTCAGCGCAGCACGTGAAAAGTAGAATGTGCATGGATTGAGCGCTGCAACAGTTAGTCTTTAAGCCGGTCATCGTAGGTGACAAATCATCGTCGACATGATGAAGTTTGTTGCTTTCAGGTTGTTCGCGTTCGTACATGTGCTGTAACGCATACCAAGAAAGGAACAATGCATGCCATCAGCATTTTCGTGATAGATGTGTTATTGCATACGAACAGATTGTATCAACTTGAGCGGCTCGAGCAAAGAACTTGTCAGATTGTTTGCTTAAACTCGACAAACAAACGCACGAAAAGCGAACATCGCGACCTTAGAGACCAAGGCACGACACAAACATCACACACAAACAACAGAGCAGCACAATTTATTCACATAGCATCATCGGTGGCACACTATCTCAAACAGCTTCGGAAAGACCACGCTGGTTCTCAACCACCGGTTCGCTTTTTTCCGAGTGTTCACGGTCACTCATGGATGAAGCGGCTTCATCACCCGACTTGCTGTCAGTAGCGGCAGATGGCAAAGCGACTTGGTTTGATTCAGTTGGTATCTGATCCACCCGTGGTGCCAGGTAGTAAGCGGCGCCTGGGGGCAAACTGGCTACCGAGGAAATACTGTTGACTGTTGACTTGCCGGGCGCCTCGCTTGGAGCAGCTGCGATTTGTTCAGCTGCAGGCAAAGAAGAAACGGGCGTGATAGCATGAGCTTGCACAGCGTCCTCTGCAACACGATCTGGCATAAAACGACACGGGTTAGCCACGCATTCACCTAGCAGCCGTGTATTGTGCATACCCTGGTGCCACTTTGCTTGCAGATGTGCGACCATCTCCGACACATCTTGCAGTCTTTTGTGGATCACACGCGACGGAGTGTTCTTCAGCTCATCAATCAGTGGCTGCATCTCCGAGACTGCCATATTCATTTTGTGCTCGTTAGCCAGCGCTTCCTTGAGCAGCAATGCCGAGACAGCTATCGTGACAAAGCCATCAACTCAAGTTAGCAATCGGTTCCCGCGTTTCCCACCGTTGTAGCGACGATAAACCTGTGGGCGCCGTCGCCATCAAGTCCGTCTTTACATCCACCTTCGAGTCAGGAGGAGACCTAAGCGAGAACGCTAGCAGTACCAGTAAAACCAAATGTGTATGTGAGTATTATCCGCTTTCAGACCACACTATGTGAAGAACGAACGCACCCGGATCAACTGCCATTGCATCCATCTCCACGTTCGACGGCTCATACGCTGCTAAGTCGACACGTACAGCTCGAGCATCAGACAACCCATCCACCAGCGCACAACACAACATAACGAGGTGCCAGCCGGCCTACCTGCATCATCCATTCCCTGCTTTATCCTCATCTTAATATGTTGCTCAGCATCTCGGCCCAACAACAGTTCATCTGGCACGGAGCTGTTGTTGGTATAGCAGTTGTAAATCTCATCGCTAATGCGATGGTTGTGCTGCGCAATCTACACACAGTCAAACACACAACAAACAGCCACACACACACGACATCGATCCATGTGAGTCTTTCCTCTCCCACCTCGTTCTCTTCACCCTCTCTGGTCAAAAACGTCGAGCTGACCTGATTCCGCACGCGAACCAGCCAGTGCACTTTACTGGGATCTCCCGCCACCATCTCAAACACCACGTCAGCGGTGATTCGCGCCGAGCAGCCCGTGTACCGATTGTGCAAGTGCGTCCGGACGCCATGGCCCCGTGACGGCTGGATACACCCGTGCGTGCACCAATACGCCATCGTCGCGTACTTGAAATCTTCGGGCACGGGATACTTTTTGAACTTGTGCTTGCTGTTCCAATAGGTCGTAGTGGACGAACTGCGACGTCGGTACATGGTCTTGGTGCGACTCATGTAGCCATTCCACGTCTGGATGAACTCGTCCCACGTGTCAAACGTCAAGGGTTCGAACACCGGGACGTAGACGGTCATGGCGCCCCGGGCTTTGGCCAGGTCTTCACGCAGCTGGAAGTTCTTGGTCCGACGTTTCTTGACCAGTGGTTCTTCACCAGCTGCTGCAATAGTACCGTCTGAAGGAAGAGGCTCGATTGCGACCGGCGGGAGGAGCGCTGGACTTGCAGCAGCGTCTTCTGGAGCAGCACAAGTTGAAGCGGTCGTCGTGTCCGTCTTGATGGTCATGAACGGGCTTGCGTTGCTGGAGCGGAGGGCGCTTCAGTTGCGGACACGGGGAAAATGTTGATGGCGGACGACTTAGCAAAGGGGACAAGTTGCTAGTTGGGAGGCGTCGACACGAGAGCGGACGCGGCCGACGTGACAAAAACGGATTTGACAGGGTTCGTTCGGCCCTGCTCTGTTCTGCGAGAACAAGCAATGAAGACAGGGCCGGAGATGTGATGTTGTGTCGGATATGCAAATGGGAGCCTTTTTGCTGACTTCACACGTCTGTGGTTGATCTCAGCATCGACAAACGGGGAGATGGTGAGAGAGGAGATCACTCGCGCAATGACGTGCTTTCGACGTTGTGCATGTCGATTGCTGTATTGCCTGCCTGCCTCGTTTTACAATAGCAAGAGACACTTTTCAACGTGTTGGTGGTCACGACAATGTGCGTTTTACAACCATGCAATGTGGTCCTTTTGCTTACCACACGTAGCGCAGCACGAGTATTGGGACGATCACCCCTTGCATCTTGTGAGTGAGTGAGCGAGTCCTGCTGTTTGCCGCAACATAAAGCGTGCTTGAAAACGACCAGCGAGTTGCTCTCGCTTTGACTGTTGCATTCGTGTCCCGTCTGTTCCGAACCGTGGGAGGACAGACGACGCTGTGAGTGGCGTACGACAACTTTGCGTGTACACGACAAAGAGCCGTGACGTTCGTTTGACATGGTCAGCAGTGTCTTCCTTCCCCTCAAGTGGCAACTGAGCCTCTGCTGGAAAATGTAGTCGTATCGACTTTATCAGGGTCACAGCGACAGTACCATGGGGTTTCGCTTCCATCGAATACAAACGTCTCGAATACGAACTCAAGTGTCTAGCCCTCACGTCTCCCTCGCTATAAGAACATTCACGACTTCTACCCACACTTTTGCATTGAGTCGGCAGTTGTATTCAGTTCGTTCAGTCAGTAGCAAGTCAAGTCAAGTGAAGTCAAGTCGAGTCCAGAGGCTTTGGCCTGCAAGCGCGAGCGAGAGAGAGAGGGAGCAAGCACGCGCGAGGCTTCCCCCTATTGCCGACCGCCGCTTGATGGAGCTAGCAAGGGAGCTGGCTACAGGCATCATGCTATCGTCCGCTCGCAACCGGAGCGACGACCGCGAGATCGTGCGGCGCTGGATAGAGATGGTACTGGGCGACAAAGTGCTGAGCGATGTCCCAGCGGCGCTGCAGTCGGGCCAGGTGCTCTGTGGCTTGGTCGAGAGACTGTACAAGGCGCTGGGCATGAAGAGTCGAGTGCGTTCGTGCGATGGAGGCGACGCGGGCGCACTGGAGAATGTGCGCGAGTATCTGAGGTACTGTTTTTTCCATGTGGGAAAAAGAGGTGTAGTGGGGGTTTTCAGGCTGGCTCGTTGCTGGAAGGAGGAGAGATGGTTGATAGGAGCTAACTGGGTATGTGTTGCTGTTGCTGTTGTTGATGATGATGCTTTTTGTTGTTGTCCGTGCATGTGTTTTTTATTATCTGCCGCTTTTCTTCTCTGTCTTTGTCTTTATTGTGACACCGCTCTGACGGAAATCGATGGTGTGAGTAGAGCATGTGAGGCGCTCGGAGTTGCGCGTCAAGATCTCTTTGAGCCGGATGATTTGCTCGAGCAAAAGGATCTGGAAAAAGGTGTGTTGTGAGAAGGGCATTTTGGCAGAAATTGCTGGCCTGCAAGGTCTTGCGATCCATGCTGACCAGCTGGTTTGTGCATGGTTTAGTTTACAGGAGCATCCTTGCGTTACAGGTAGTGGCGGTGTCGCTGTCGAACCGCCGCTCGATTGATGAACGAAGCTCCATGATTGAACGGCTGGTACGTATTTGTGGCCTGTGTTTTTGTGTGGCTTTGGATGATCAGCGTTGTATCGTTGGCAGTCACAATGTCATTGCGTATCGCTCGTGACGTGCAGGACTGGTGCCCGGTGCCGGAAATCGATGTTTTTGTGAACGACGACGAAGACAATCTGGATGTTGATGATTTGAACCTGGAAATTTCTGGCTCTGTCCATATGCTCCAGCAGTCGCGGTGGCAGCGGTTGTTGTGCAAATATGAGGACCAGCAGCAGCAAAAGGAGGCGAAAGACTGTGCTGGCAATTCCTCCACATGTGAAGGGATGGGCCCGCTCGCACACAGTATTTGGCGAACAGAAGAGCGCATTCGTGCAATATTGTTATGCGACGATGACGATTTTGGTGCGGTGCCAGATGCGTTACATGGCCAGCTGTGGATGCTCGCGTCAGGTGCTCAACTGGAAATGTGGAGAAATAAGGGTCTGTACGAGCGATTATTGGCTTCGAACGCAGAGAACACCGAGGCCACTCGGCAGATTGACGTGGATCTGCACCGTACTGTATCTGACGAGGACAAAGAGTGGTGGAGTGATAAAAAATCCGACATGATGCGCCGAGTTTTAGTCGCATACTCGTTTTACAACCCAGGTCTGGGGTATTGTCAGGGTCTGAATTATATTGTTGCACGAATTTTGCAATACCTTGACGAAGAAGAAGCTTTTTATTTGCTGATCGCAATCATCCGGCTTGTTCCGGATGACTACTACACGACAATGGTGAGTACCGTCGTCTTTATTGACAAGTGTTGTATGTCGTTGTTGTATCTCACCAGTTGCGGAACGTCCGTTGCTTGTAGCTAGGATTGGCTGTAGATCAACACGTTTTTGCGGATCTCGTTCGTCTTCAGTACCCGGAGGTTTCTGATCACCTGACGGAACTGGGAGGCTCGGGAATGGAGTTGTCACTCGCATGCACGGAGTGGTTCCTGACTCTTTTTGCCAGTCCATGCGACAGGAATGTGGCTTTTCGGATTTGGGATGCTATTTTCCTTCAGGGTGATGAGGTAAGAAACGTTGTGTGGCTCATCGATTATACTGCGCTTAACTTGTGTCGAATGCTGTTTCGCGTAGGTTCTATTCAAAGCAGCACTGGCACTTCTCCACCAAGCAAAGGCTGAACTTGTTGCATGCAATAACTATGGGGATATGCTGAAGCAATTGAATGAGGTATGCTTATCTTGTACTTTCGAACGTACTGAATGTAAATTGCTCATGATGACTTGACTGGACTCGTGTGCAGCTTGGTCGAGGTGCAATCGATGCCGCAGAGTTGATGGAGTTATCGAAAGCACAAGATTGCGTCATTCGTGGCCGGGTGGAAGATTTTAGAGCCCATCATCGTCTGCAATTGGCATCAGGCATTGTCGCCTCAACGGTCGATGTAGAGGACGCGCAAAGCTCAACAGCAGGACGACGGAGCTCAGAGTCAAGGCCGGAACCACGGCTGAGGCTATTTGGCCGTAGGAAGCAAGGCACTTCTCGACAAATGGACAAGGTTCCTCCTCGGTTGGCACGGTAGTGTTGATGCCATTGAAACGTGTACTTGGCGGTGAGCTGATGTATTTTGATTGGTATCCAGAACGTTCGATCGAGTGCTTACCGATGAGTACACGGAGGCCATTCAACGAGACCATGTCAACTTCGCTGAGTATTACAAAGGAGTGCAGCTCCAGGTAAGGGCCAGATTATTTGCGTCGGTCGTAAGAGATGAAAGCTTACGATACATATGCTGTTGTCCAGATTCGCGAAGATTACTGGAGTGGAGGAGATAGTCAACTTCAGGGCAGTGGTCGAAGCGTCCGTCGAGTTTCAGCCGATGGGGTTGCTGTCAGTAGCCTTCAGGAGAATACAGGTCGCCGGTTGGAGCTAGCAGACCACGACAAAAGCCAAAACGGGCCGGACGGGGGTGAATGCGGGGTCAGACTGACGCGTGCGCGCCGAAGCAAAAGCTCAGCAGCAATGCCTACTCGCAAGGTGCAAGAGTCAAACGCGATTAGCCCTCCTCTGGACCCGCCAGGAAACGACAGCGACGAGGAGGTTCAGCTGGTCGGGCGTTCACCATTAGCATGGATTCAGCGCTTTGAGGAATGGCACAAGGACATGAAAACTCAAAAGGAGAAGAGGAAGGCAGAGAAGAAACGTCTGCGACGTAACCAGCGCTGTGAGAGCATGTTTCCTGAAACGATGACTGGACAAACGGATCCAGGTATCTTGCGGACGCGGTGTGCTGTTGGCTCTTCACCAGTTCCGCTCCACTCACAGCCGCGTGAATGTGACGATATCGAAAACTTTTCGCTTGGCGACCGAAGGAGATCCAATGAATACAAGTGTCCACGTATCGAAAGTGTTGTAGAACTGAAGAAGTCTTCGCTGCCACGCTCCTACTCGGACCTATTCCGGTCTTCAGCGGGTATATCAGGACAGCAGCAAAATCAAGCAACGATTGAAATGACGCGACTTGCTGACAAGCAAGAACTAGTAGTGCCGCCGCCGCACTCGCTCAAGAGTGAGGTGGACGAAGTTTTGGAGAAGCCCTATGTTGACGAAGCACGACAGCTGGCTCGAAGTGGAAGTGGGCGTCCTTCTCGTGGGTTGAGTGATCAAAGTACTTTATCCCGAAGCACCAATTCGTACGTGAACGCGGCCTCTTTTGTCATGGATTTTCCGGATGAGATGCACGATGAAGGGAAGTCGAACCGATACCTTGATGAGGAGAGTGCAAAGTTGGGAAAAATGACCACGTTTGCGCGAGGAAAACGACCGCTAGCGCATGGGCTGATCCTGTACTCGCCGGTGCACTGTCGATCTAGCTCAATGGACTTTGGGGCGGAAGAAGCTGGCAGTTATGCCCCACCTCGGATACGTCGGATCGTGTCAGTTCCCACAGACGAGAACGTTCCTCAGCAAAAGTGTGCACGCAATCTTGACCGCACCAGCGACTGTAGTCAAGCCATGCGAGAGCGTGCGAATGTTCTCCAGTACATGCATCACAAGGCCAGCGACGCAAGCAGCCTCGCTGAAAGTATTTCGCGTAGTTCGGTCCGCATGAGTGAAGGGTCCAACGACACGCCTCGAGTTGACGACCAAAGTAGCAACCGGAGTGGCAAGTCGACGCGTTTCCGAACGAGTTCGTTCTCTTTCTTCGACAAGCTCTCAAGTGATCTTGAGAGTAGTGTCCACGGTTTGGACAGTCTGGTTGGTGAGGCTGAATTTGCGACTGGAAGTGCTGGGGACCGCGGGTCAATGTCTTCAGCAGCAACGGGTCGATCCAGTACCATCGACGAGCCACGGGCTATGGGAGAAGCCATCTCCATCTCGTCGTGATGATGAGATAGAGACGAGACTAGCGTAGGCGTGGCATTTGCAGCAATTGACCGATGGGTCGTGGTTTTTGATGGTAGTCAAGTACGTGCTGAGTCCAATAGAGCATGATTTGCAACAACGGCCAGGATGGTTGTTGTTGTTGTTGTAAATTTCGGATAGTTTTCGCTTATTTTCCTATATTTTGGTTCATTCTTTTATTTTTATAATTGTAAAAGCAATAATGGGTAAAGCGTACGATGGCAAAAAGCGGTGGACTGAGACCATCTTAGCAACGACGGCCAGGGTTTCTACGGCCGCTGGGCGACACCATGGACCAACGAAGCGTCTATCAGGTACGTCTGTAGTGCTGTCTAGTCGTGTGGGCTTGTAGTGTGCGTGAACGACTGTGCAATACACTAGCGAATGATGTTGTACTCCTCGTTTGGATAATATAAATTACGTTGATGTGTTGACGTGTCTAAAACATGTGTGGATCTTTCGGTAATATACGTGATCTGGATAATATGTACAGGTCGAACGCACAAGCTGAGCACTGCAATGAGGCGGGTGGATGACGACATGCGGTCGGAAGTGCGCAATGCACGTTTGGACGCTTTGGAAGCGGATAATTTCGGAGAAGACGCTGATGACGACGGCGAAGGTTCTCGAGATGGTGACGAAGCATACGTGGACGAAGACGAAGGTGGAGCTGGTGCTTTGTCTGGTGGTCGAGCGCCAATGAAGAAGAAGAGGCGAGCTGGTGTGCTGAGCAAGAAGAAGTGGAAGGTGAAAATCTTGGCCCAGTTGGTGTTTGAAGAATTGGGTCATGGTGACCAGGCGCAGAAGCCTAATTACTTGACTGCTGCTGTGGGACCTCCGATATATCCTGCTCGGAAGTTTTGCTGCGTGTGTGGATTCTTTGCAAACTATAATTGCCGACGGTGTGGATCGAGGTACTGTAGCGTCAGATGTGGTGATCACCACAAAGAGAGTGGTTGTATGAAGTTTGGACTGTGAAGCGGCTCCTTCGTCGGTGATACCAAGAGATGTGGTTGGCTGGGGCTTGATGCAATGTTTTATCGAGCAGCCCCAATCGTGCGTTGGGACTCCTCGTCACAACGTCAAAGCTTTGAGCTGATGGTTGGCTGGAGAATATGACATTTGCAGAAGGCACGTAACAAGTCAAGAAACTCGAGGAGCCCTCGTGAAGTACAACTCAGCACCACATACTGCGCGATGTACTAGAAGCTATGCTGGTACTTAGCGAAGAGCATTCCTGCAGGGGTCCTACATGGCGTCGCGCTTTGTCACAGACTGTCACGAGGGTCTTGCTCCAGGTCTGAGATTACGCAAGAAAAGTGTGGTCAGAGTCGCTCTACATGAGGTCCGTATGCGTTTCATACGTGCCAGTTACGTTGGCCAAACGTTTCTCGGAACTTGCTACTGTCGAGCCATCAAAAGGTTGTAGCAGGTTTCCTCGTCGACCTTTGAATCGTCTCCTGTACTGATGTGCAAAACAAGTGAATCGACTACAATGACGCCTTCGTCGGAAGGGACTAACGATGTTGGTGTATCGAACACTGTGTGGTTGCCATGGCCACAATTGCTCTCATTGTTTATGATCATTCTTCTTCAAGTCCGACTGCGCTGTAAATCTGTCCTAGACACACCCAGCACGCGCGGAACGATCAATTTGCTCGGACCCTGTTCCTTGCGTATTTCTGCTGACATGAGTGCATCGAGAGATGATTCATTCTCAATCCAATCATGTGGAGCTCTTCAGTTGGATGGTTGTGCCCCCCCACCTGCGCACATAGCTGTGCACTGATGCTGAAGCGTGCTAGTTACACATTCCCAATACACAATCCACCACTTGACTTTTTGACCCTATCGAGGTGCATTAACGATTTATTGCCCACCTCGTCCTAGCCATGAGTCTCTCAATTATGCGCGATCGACATGCTCTGCTCGATGCTTTACTTAGATCCTAATGGTCGACGTGATGTCAACAACGTTAACGTCGAACCCTTGCGGGCCAACATTAGCTGTACCACTTGTGGTGGTAATGAGGTTGTCAGCACCGAAAACAATTAATTCAGACAATATCATTTCAGCTCTACAATACAACACGAGTCTACAATATAATTCCGCCTTTTTACGCTCGCGTCGCGACAAAGGACCCTCACAGTTTATGCTGCTACTGAAACTAAATGAAACTCTCCCCCACAATTCAATTAATTGCAACCACATTCCAGCAGCAAAACAATCGCTCGACATCGACACGTAGAAACGAATCTCCTGGGTTTTTCGTCTTCCTAACAACACCCCTCAAATCCTCAAACAATTTCACAAACGGGCAGCAGCCAATCCATCCACCCAGCCACATCCGTCTGATTTATCCCAATCCAACCCAAATCAACCCAACCCAACCGAAGAGATCCTCCTCCTCGACCTCTTTTCACTTGTCAATAGTATCCATTCACAACAGCCAACCCTAAGCAGCAATCGCGTCAAACCCACCTGGCCAAGCTCTCGGTATCTTCATGTCCAGCGTCTTTATCGATCCCAAAGACCTGCCCGACGGCGGCTACGGTCTCCTCCAAGTGCTCTTCCTCGGCGCCGTCTATGGCGTCGTGCTCTTCAACGCGAGCAACCTCATCTCGGACGGCAGTGAACTGCTCCTCCTCGTCCCGTCCATGGCTGGGATCGTCGGCAGCATCGTGCTCCCCGTCCTGGGTGCGGTCCCAGACGGGGCCATCGTGCTCTTCTCCGGCATGGGCCCCAATGCCCAAGAGCAGATTTCCGTCGGGGTTGGGGCCCTCGCAGGGTCCACGATCATGCTGCTCACCATCCCCTGGGCCCTCAGTGTCTACGCGGGACGTGTGAATCTGGACGCCAATGGACGGGGCAACTACGTCCGTCCCAAAGGTGACGAGCACTGGGGGAAGCTCATGCCTCGGGGCAATCGGGACTTGACCCGGACGGGCGTCGTGCTCTTTGACGAGATCCCGTGCACCGCCAAGACGATGATTGGCACGAGTCTGATCTATTTGATACTACAGGTTCCTGCGTTGTTTTATACGGGGTTTGCTGAAGACGATGCCGCCCGGACGGACAATGCCCGCGTCGCGAGAGCTGAGAAACCTTTTGCGATTGTCGCATTCGGCGTCTCGATGGTGGCGTTTGTCCTGTATTTGTACTGGAGCGTTCGACGATCGTCCGAGGTCAAAGAAGACGTGATTGACGAAGTCCGCGTTGCAGCCATCCGGGATGGAGAGATCAGTCTGTCGGGCATCTTGGCCAAGGAAGTCGCCAAGTTGAAGAACGAAGCGGCGAGCACGAGCACGACGCCGCTGCGAGCGACGCGGGAGCAGTTTAATCGCGTGGCTGATGTCATTCGCCCTTTTTTTCACGCTTATGACAAGAACCGCGACCGTCGCATGGACACGGACGAGCTGCAGCTCTTTTTTAAAGACTTGGGCGAGAATCTCTCGCGCGACGAGGCCGAGACGTGGAAAGCAGCGGCGGACAAGAACATGAATGGATACATTGAATTCCATGAGCTCGTTGAAGCGACGCTTCGCTACCTGCTGGCCAAGTACGAGAATGAACGTCACGGTCGATCAGGAGTTTCGATGCACCGCGTTATAGTGGATCAGAAACACTCGCTTGGTATCTCGACTGCGGATGGCGACGACGATGAAGAAGAAGAGGAAGTACCGGAAGACCTTGCTCATCTGTCGATCGATGAGCAACAGAAGAAGATCAAGATGCGCGCGGCGTATATGATGGCATTGGGTACGGCCCTCGTGCTGATATTCTCGGACCCGATGGTGGATGTGTTGTCGGAAGTTGGCGCGCGCACAGGTGTCCCGGCATTCTACGTGTCGTTCGTGGTAGCGCCACTGGCTTCGAATGCGAGTGAACTCATTGCAGCGTATAACTACGCGCAGAAGAAGACGTCCAAGACGATTTCCATCTCGGTATCTGCTCTCCTGGGCGCTGCTTGCATGAACAACACGTTCTGTCTGGGTATCTTTGCCGCACTCATGTCGTTCAAAACTGGCGGTTTGGTGTGGCAGTTTTCAGCCGAGACGTTGTCGATTCTGTTTGTGGAGTTCTCGGTTGGCTTTATTGCCATGAAAAAGACGCAGCGTCTCCTCGACGGTCTCTTTGTGATGCTCCTGTACCCGCTCTCGATCATTTTGGTGATCGTGCTGGAGAATGTGCTCGGGTTGGACTAGACGAATACCAGGCTACGTGGTCGGTCACGGAAAAGACCGTTGTGCGGTCGAGAGATGTTTTATCGATGTCGATGCCGATGGGGTGATCTTGTGATGTGCCGCTCCGAGGTCAAGCTGCAGCAATAAGGAAGTGGGAGAGCTGCTAAGCTCTGTACTGTTGTTAACTCAGTTTAAATTTCTGCTCATTACAGCCGTAACGTTATTCCTCGTACGATTTACTTTTGTCATGGGATTGATAAATGCAGCTGAGTATCGCTGTTAGACGATCGAAAACACGACGATTTTACCACATGGCATGACCAATTTAAGTACACAAGGTGGCTCCAAGCCCATTTTTTTTTATTATTCTTGATTGTTGAAGGATTTACAGCCATTACAACAACAAACCTTGTTTTGCTAGTGATCACGCGGACCTCAGCAGCTTCCGCTAGAAGCACGTCCCTCGCCGCTCGACGTCGAGATGAACATTAAGATGGACGTATTTTGTCCTGGCGCCATGTTGGGCGCCGACGCGTTGTAAGCTACTTCTACATGCTGAATCCTGGTACGTACACTCCAGGCCAAACGTACAGCACACCCCATGTTTTCTTTTAAACAACCCAGCGACTATTCCGAATTAAAAACTGCTCTTTGAACATGATAGATCGGTAAGTATGTCAGATAAGGTGCGTGTGTAATCGACCTGTAATTAGCAGTTCGTAGGGGGTGTCCCATACAGATGTCGAAAAATGGACGTGGCCAAAAGATGAGCCACCTCTATCCATACAAAAGTCAAGCTTAAAATACGATAGAAAAGCCACTTGTTACATGCCATTCTGCAAGTTATGGGGAAAGGAAAACAGCTGTCTGATGAAGATTGGGGAAGAATCCGCGGTCTGTGTGAGGTTGTGCACTCAATCAAAGACATTGCGAGACGTCTTAAGCAATCACATGCATGTGCGCGAGCTGCGTTGCAGCTTCAGCAAGTAGATAGCAAGGCAGGCTATCCTGCTCTTCTTACAAGCCGCGACTTGTAGCGCATCGTGCGAGAGGCAGCGACGGAGAGTTATATGTTCGTCCAGATGGCTGACAAGCTTGAGCTGTAGTGCACGGCGGGGACCGTCGACCGCATCCTCCTTAGTGTAGACTGGCTTGTCTACACCAAAATGAACTGCATCTGCCCCTCACGCGCGAGCATAAGAGAGCGAGACATCTTTCGGCTAAGAGCCACTTTGTAACGGGGTAGGCCGTTACATGCTATTGACACCAAACGGTGTCAGTAGGGATATTGTCCAGAAATGACAATATCCTACCAACGTTATTCGAGATGGATAATATTGAAGAAACAGTATACCCTTTTAGGATAGCATTCATGCGCTGCTCAAAGATGGGTTGATAAAAGACATATCAACCATAGATAACCACCAATCGCTGCTAGACGCGCGCAATGAGTGGTGAGCAGGTTGTCGTCATACGATGACGTAGTTTAGTATAGTTGTATAAAGATGAAAGTTATATTGATAGCTTAACTATTTTTATTACAGTTCTCTTTTTACCCTCTAATTAACATAGCTGTTGAGTAGATTAGCTTCCTTTGAACGTACTTGTGTACGTGAATTTTTGTGGCACCCCAAACAAAGAGTGCCCCGTTACACCTGGTAGCACTTTGTAGTCCGTCCAACGGCTGCTTAGTGTCCGTCCAACATGACCATGTTGGACGTAGAATACGACAGCTTTCACGTCACAGATGGGAGTAGCCGTGAAGGCTACTCCCATTTGAGTGACTCAGAATGGGAGGTAGTCGGACGCATGAGTGTGCTCATGGGCGAACCCACCATCAGTGACATGTTGGAGTTTTAAAGCAGAGACCAGCAACATGCCGCTATCAACAAGTTCCTACAAGGGGAATTTGCCGTCGAAATGCAGAAGATAGCCTTGCTACAACAGCAAGGCTCTAATCAGTCGATGGGCGGGCCGACGCACATGCGTCGACCCTAAACCTTAAAGATTGATATCTCAAGGTACAAGAAAACCGATGTAGATTCCCTTTTGAGATGGTTCGTTGAGTTAGACGATGCCATCAGGGCCCGTCACATCGAAGGTGACGAGATGCAAGTCACCTTCGCCCTGTCAAATTTGACAGGACGAGCAAATACTTGGGCTTTAGGGCTCAAGCGTCACGACCCAAACGTGTTTGAGTCGTTGGGGATCTTGAAGTCTCGGCTCAAGAGACGTTTGAGCCACCACGAGCCGAGTTCAGAGCACGCTCTGCACTCCTGAGGCTAAAGCAAGGTTTACATGATGTGCTTGCTTACGCACAGCACCTGCGTTAACTTGCGAGTAGCGTCACGGAAATCCTGTTGATGAGCACACGCTCATCAACGTGTTCATCTACGGCCTTGTGGATGGGCCGGTAAAGACCTACATGTTCCGAGATGACTTCTGTACGATGGAAGGAGATAGCGTATGAGGAACAAGAAGACTTCAGCCTGAGACAGTCTCAGACTAACTCGTCAAACTATCGTCCGACGAGACGACAGGAAACAGGAGGTCCCAAACCAATGGACCTCTATTACATCGAGAGCGAGAACTCTCGCTCTCTGAGTCACAAGCGAACGGCAAGATGCCATCGCTATCAGAAGATTGGGCACTACACCCATGAGTGTAGTGTCCCAAGCACCGCAACACGTCCAAAGACAGAACGCTATGACCACTGTTGGCCAAGGTGAGGTCCAAGGCGCAGATCTGACCATGTCGCTAAGTCCGACAGCAAGTCGGACCGTCAAAAACGGTCAGGGTCAGTAGGGGTGGAGCACCCTGCTGATCCAGCAACGTCAAGAGAATTTGCAGGAATCTTGACGAAGATTGCTCCCAACACACAGTCGCTGTGAGTTACGGCACCTAGTGATGAGGTTTCCCTCATCACTTTAAAGATCGAAGTGACAAGTGGAATGTCACTTCGCGCCCTAGTTGACTGTGGGGCGTCGAACAGTTTTATTCGACGCCAGTCGCTAGATGATAGCTGGCTCAACTATGTTGAGCGAGAGTTCCCTGAAACGAGGATGACGGTCTGCCTTGCTACAGGCGCATCCGTAACAGTGAATAAACGTGTAGTGGGAATCCACTACACGCTAGTAGGAAAGCAGTACTATGATAAATTTATCGTATTAGATTCGGATGACAAATTTGATATCATCCTCGGTCTGCCATGGCTTAGAAAGTACCAGCCATGAGTCAGCTGGCAGCATCGATCCGTGAAGATGCCTGCCATTTGTTCATTGGATGGCCATCTGGTGAGAGTCTTGGAGCGTCCACAAGCGTGTGGATGTACTACGAGTGAGTGCGATGGCCTCACTTGTGGTACGGTCGTTAGTACGAATGCATAAGATCACAGTGTAGAAGTCCACTGCACTGTGGAACCAGCTTCCGGCACCTGTGTAGAAACACAGGCTGCGCCGAAGGTTCACCACTCGAAGAGGTCGAGTGGACTGGAACACGGATGCACACCAAGAAGGGTGCATCCGAGAAGCAAGATTTGTGTTGTTAAGGATGAACGACACGTTGAAACGAAATCGACTATCAGACGGACGGTCGTAAAGAAAGCCGGATCGACTGAAAGAGAGTCGATCGAAGGGAAGTAACTGTAGTAGTTGACCCACAGTCAGTACACGTATTGGAAGAAAGTTCCAGCGTTCCTGAGAGTGATAACTCCCGAGAGAGTTATGTTGAGGGTGTGGATCCCCAACCACCTGCAGATGTGTTTTCCCAGAAAATCACGGAGACAGTGAATGTCTTTGTGGATGACGGATCAAAAGTAGGCACTTCTACACTTGATCTGGATACACCTCCGAAGTCAGCTTCGGAGTTAATTAAGTTTCCAACGCTCGAATCTAAAATATTATTGCGAGATCTGCGTAGTGACAAGTTCTAGCAGATCTACGTACTCGTCACAGAGCACGAGTACGCCGCCGATATTAGGTAGGCACAAGCGTTTGCTGAGAACGAACGTGTTCTCAGTTGCGCAGAGATGGACGAGAGTGTCCTCGATGAGAAGACTCGGATTGAGCGATACACGTCTCAATCTTGGGAGTCTTTGACGATAAATCCTTTGTATAAGAATTTGGTTGAATTCAGGGATGTTTTACCTGAATCCGTGCCATGCGAGCTGCCCAAGGGCAAAGGCCTTCGACATTAGATCGAACATAAACCCGGGTCAAAATTCTGTGTCATGAAGCAGTGGCCACTGCCTCGTGAACAAGTACTTGCGATCGACAAATTCTTTGCCGATCGCTTAGCGGCTGGTAATGTGAGGTAATCAACATCCCCACACAGCTCTCCGACCTTCTGCGTGCGAAAGGCCACAGGAGGGTGGCGGATATTGCACGCATTCAACAAATTGAATGCTGCAACGGTACCGGCTCAGACGCCGACACCAAGGAAGGACGTCGTCATTGATGGTATGGCAAAAAGTACCATCTTTTTGTCCATGGATTTGATACATGGCTTCTATCAGATCCTCATGCATGAACGGGACATCCTGAGCAGAATTGAGCACCCCCAGTGGTATGCTCTGGGAGTGGCTAGTGATGCCACAGGGGCTAAGTAACGTGTAACGGGGTGAATCGTTACATAACAATTTATAAGAAATTGTTAATAGAATATAACTATAAGAGTTATATTCTCAGAATATTGTCATAAGGACAATATTCTACAGCACTTACGAGTAGTTCCTAATTGGTTGATATAGGCCATTATATCAACCAACGAAGACACGCCACGACAGACGCACGCAATGAGTGGTGAGCAGATAGTTGATATGCACATTTGTATTTAGACATAGTTAGATGAGGATAAATAGTGGTTTATTTAACAGACATTAACAATTACAAATACAGTTCTACTTTTTACTTTAACCGAGTACTCGCTCCTCCGAACCGTCTTCCTCTGCACGTACCAGTGTACGTGAGGTTACGTGGCACCGCCTTATTCTGTCATCAGAATAAGTAGGTTGTACTGTCATCAGTACAAGCTTCAGGGTGCCCCGTTACACCTGGTAGCACTTTGTAGTCCTTCCAAGGACCACGTTCACATCTAACATGAATATGTTAGATGATGAAGGTGACCAAAGTTTTCACGCTACGCGTGACGGCTACTACCATTTGAGCGATGTCGTATGGGATGCTGTTGAACGGAAGGGTTCAGCCATGGGCATTCATGCTGTTAGCGTCATGCTAGAGGATCTCAATAGAGATGCCCAACATGCTACTATCGCCAAGTTCATTCAAAATGAACTTGACGCTGAACGCGATAAAGTAGCCTTGCTTCACCAACAAGGTTCTCAACAATCAGAGTTGTTGAGAGAACAGGGTGCTCAACAGTTTGAACTGTTGAGACAGCAGCAGGCTGCTGGTGGTGGGTCGATGCACTCGCGTCGACCCGAGACCTTGAAGATTGACATCTTCAAGTATAGGGGAGTCGAAGAGAACTCCCTCTTGAGATGGTTCGTCGAATTAGACGACGCCATAAGGGCGCGTCGCATCGACGACGGGGATATGCAAGTTGCATTTGCCCAGTCAAATCTGGCAGGACGTGCCAAGACTTGGGCACTGGGGCTCAAGTTGCACGACCCATATGCGTATGGGTCATTATAAGTCTTCAAGTCGCGGCTCAGACAAACGTTTGAACCGCCTGGAGCTGAGTTCAGAGCTCGAACTGAACTCTTGAAGCTCAAACAAGGTAAGCGTTATGTGCACGCTTATGCGCAACATATACGACATCTCACGAGTTTTATAAGTTCCAACCCGGTTGATGAACACACGTTGGTTTCGGTGTTCATGCAGGGTCTTGCGGATGTTCCCGTCAAGACTCACCAGTTCCGACTTGAACTAGATTCACTAGAACAAGCCATTTCCATTGCGGAACAGGAAGACTTCAGTCTGAGACAGGCTCGCGCCAGCTCGACATCATATCGTCAACCGAGACGATATGACAGCGGAGGTCCAGAGCCGATGGAACTCTGTTATGTAGAGAGCGAGAAGGCTCGCTCTACAGACTACAAGAAGTTGCAGAAATGCAACATATGTCAAAAGACAGGACACTACGCTTACGAGCGTAGTGCCCCTCGTCCAGTATCTCGCAACACTGGGCGTAGTGACCGTCCACCATGAGAAAGGGGCAGGGACGAGGGTCCGCTGTTGGTGCAAAGACGCAACAACGGTATGGACCGTCAAAAAACGGACAGGATCAGTAGGTGCGGAGCACCCTACTGGTCCAGCAACGTCAAGAGAATTTGTAGGCCTCTTGATGAAGGTTGCTCCCAACACACAAACGTTGTGCGTTGCTGCTCTAGGTAATGAGATCTCACTCATTACCTTGAAACTCGAAGTGACGAATAAGTTGTCCCTTCGAGCTCTAGTCGATTGTGGGGCGTCCAACAATTTTGTGCAACGCCAATCGCTAGAAGATGGTCACTTCAAGTTTAGTGAATGTGACACACCTCCTACGAGGATGACGGTACGTCTTGCGACAGGCGCATCCGTAACCGTCATGAAGCGTATAGTGGAGATCCACTATACGCTAGAAGATACCCAATGTGATGATGACTTTATCGTATTGGATTTGGATGACAAATTTGATGTCATCCTTGGAATACCGTGGCTCAGAAGGTACGAGACACGAGTAAACTGGCAACATCAAACAGTAACGATGCCTGACGCTTGTTCATCAGATGGCCATCTGATGAACGTTTTGGAGCGTCCACAAGCGTGTGGATGTACTACGAGTGAGTGCGATGGCCTCACTTGTGGTACGGTCGTTAGTACGACTGCACAAAACCTTAGTGTACCAAACGGTTACACTTCGGAGCAAAGTTCCGGCGGCTGTGAGGAAACACAGGCTGCGCCGAAGGTCCACCACTCGAATAAGTCGATTGGACCGGGAAAAAGATGCATCCCTAGCGGGGAACATCTAGAAGAGAAACAATCGATCGCTCAGGTTAAGCGAAACGATAATCCTAGATCGACTGGAGAGTCTTTCGTAGAGGATCTCGCTGTGGTTGCGCAACCACAGATAGAGGAAGTTAAGGGAATAAGTCCCAAGATTACAAATACGGCGGAAATAAGTTCCCCGAAACCCGCGGGAATAAGTCCCCGGGAAGCCGAAGGAATAAGTCCTTCGAGGCCTGAGGGAATAAGTCCCGAGAAAATGACAGAGACATTGAATCTCCTAGTCAATAACGGATCAAGTGTAGGCGCTTATACACTTGATCTGATTGCGCCTCCAAAGTTGACTTCGGAGATCACTCAGTTGCCAACGCTCGATCATAAAAGGTTCTTGCGTGATCTGCGTAGTGGCAAAGTCAAGCAGATCTGCGTACTCGTCGCTGACGACGAGTGCGTAGCCGACACAAGGTTAGCAACAGTGTTTACTGCGAACGAGAGCGTTCTCAGTAGTTCATCGATGGACGAGAGCGTCCTCGATGAAAAGACACGATTTGAGCGATACGACTCCCAATCGTGGGAATCGCTCAAGACAAATCCTCTCTATGAAGATTTGGTTAAATTCAAGTATGTATTCCCTGAAACTGTTCCGTGCAAATTACCGAAGGATAAAGGTATTCGACACGAGGTCGAGCTTAAACCAGGCTCGAAGTACTGTGTCATGAAGCAGTGGCCACTGCCTCGTGAACAAGTACTTACGATCGACAAGTTCTTTGCCGATCGTTTAGCTGCGGGCCATGTGAGGGAATCAACTTCCCCACATAGCTCTCCGACCTTCTGTGTGCGAAAAGCAACAGGAGGGTGGCGGATAGTGCACGCGTTCAACAAATTGAACGCTGCAACGGTACCGGCTCAGACGCCGATACCGAGGAAGGACGTAATCATTGATGGTATGTCAAAGAGTACCATCTTTTCGTACATGGATTTGATGGATGGCTTCTATCAAATCCTTATGCGAGAACGGGATATACCCTATACCGCAGTGAGCACGCCTAGCGGCATGCTCTGGGAATGAATAGTAATGCCACAAGGCCTTAGTAATGCCCCTGCCACGTTCAACAGATGTGTATCACATCTGTTGAGACCAGTGCGAGAATTCGCACCTAGTTATTTCGATGACGTCTTCATTCATAGTCGAGCTATGGATGGAAAGTCGGACGTTGAGGTTCACAGATACCACGTCCGACAGGTTCTTACAAATCATACAAAAGCATCAATTGTGTGCCAATCTCAAGAAGTGTACATTAGCAGCAAGCGAAATACCACTTCTTGGGTGCATCGTTGGTAAGAACGGTGTACGTCCTGATCCCGAAAAGATCAAGGCGATCACCGACTGGCCTGTGCCGGTTGATGTCAAAGGTCTTCGAAAATTCCTTGGGCTAGCGGCGTATCTGCATAAGTATTCACGCAATTACGCCGAGATGACTGTGCACCTCTCTCGTTTGTTGAAAAATAACGAGAGGTGGTTATGGAACGCTGAATGTCAGCGCTCCTTTGATGGTATCAAGCAGAGCTTGATACAATCCCCAGTCCTAGCAATTGCCGATCAGGACAGGCCATTTCATGTGGTCTGTGATGCCAGCGATTTTGCAATCGGCTGTGCATTAATGCAGTACGACCTAGAGGGCGTTGAACGCGTCGTCTGCTATCAGTCGCGTCAGCTGCAAACAGCTAAGCGGAACTATCCAGTGCATGACAAGGAACTCCTTGCCATGAAGTATGCACTCGCGAAGTTCAGAGTCTATCTATTAGGAGATAGACCCTTCATTGTTTACACTGAACATGCGTCATTACGCACGGCAGTGAACAGCCCGCACCCTTCACAACGAATGGCGCGGTGGTTGTCATTCTTTGCAGAATACAACTTTACGGTATAGTACAAACAAGGACGACTTAATGTCGTCGCTGATGAACTCTCACGTCGGCCCGACTTTGAACCAGTCGTGAAACCCAACAGTGAGACAGCCACTGTTGCGGTTATGACGTCCTCAGTACCATCTCCAACGTTACATGATGATGTGAGGCGGGCGTATGCCCAAGATGGTGAGATTGTGAAGTTTTTGGCACATCTCTCACAACCATCTCGAGAATCGTTGAAACGATTGTCGTCTGCGTATCGATCTGCGTATCGATCTGCGTCAGATCGATACACTACTCGTAACGGTTTACTGTACTATACAGCCGTTTCTGGTGACACACCACGTGTTGTCATTCCAGATGATACTGATCTGCGTTTGCGGATCATGTTCGAGTATCACGATGCTCCTATAGGAGGACATCGTGGCCGAGAGAAAACATATCTCACGGTAAGTCGAGACTTTTACTGGCCCCGCCAGTATCAGTTTGTGCGAAAGTATGTTCGCGCATGCGAAGTCTGTCAACGAGTGAAGTCAAGTCCTTCACTGCGTGCACCTTTACAGCCTCTACCGGTTCCGGCTGAGTGCTGGGAATCCATATCAATGGATTTCGTCTTCGGGTTACCCAAAGACGCACGCGGGAATACGGGTATTCTCGTATTTGTTGACAGATTCAGCAAAATGGTACACCTTGTGGCTGTACCAGAGTCAATCACGGCAAGTGGCTGTGCTTGTGTCTTAATCGACACCATCTTCCGACTTCATGGGTTCCCTGTGAACTCGTATCAGACAGAGATCCACGCTTCACTGCTCATTTCTGGCGTTCCGTGTTCAAATCACTCGGAAATCGCTTGAAGATGTCGACATCTGATCATCCAGAGTCAGATGGTCAGACGGAACGTGCCAATCGTGTCCTTGAAGAGATACTTCGAGGGTACGTACACTCCTTTAAGAGTTGGAGTGAGTTTTTGCCAATGGTAGAGTTTGCCATTAACAACTCGGTGCATGCGTCCACGACACATACACCGTTTTACGTGAATGGCTTGCGCCATCCGCGTGTACCCACCTTACTAGAGTGTAACTCTGGTTTAAGGGGGGAGGGACTCGCGCGAGCAAAAACCGATTTGGTTCACGCTCATCACGCTCTGACGAAGAGGTCATTGCGTTTGATGCCGATATCGATAACATCGATATCGAAGAAGATGATGCCAGTGAGAGTGCGGAAGCCCTCACTGAAGAAAAGGTTGATGTTGCTGCAGTGCACTCACAGCGCACTGAAGCTAACGAGTCATCAGATGAGTTCATACTGGCTCGTGAAACGGTAGTCCGTTTTGTGCAAGACTCCATCGCCGAAGCGGTGGATAAGCAAAAGCAAAACGCTGACAAGAATGGAAGGGCAAACACTCTTTTATTTAATAAAGGTGACTTAGTCCTACTGTCTACGGTTAATCTACCAAAGCATGTAGTGACTAACTTGGGTAGCAGTAAACTACTACCCAAGTACATCGGCCCATTTCGTGTATTGCACCGCCTAGGCAATGCATACACGATCGAGTTACCACGTAAGATGCGAACGCATCCCACGTTTTACGTTGGTCGGCTTAAGCCGTACCATCAGTACGCTGCTTCTTCCGATGAAGAACGCCCTTGCGCTCAAGCATCTCACAGAGAGCCTTGTGCTCCCGATGGTGGATATCAACAAGGGTCTGAAGAGCAGCTATCTCAGCCCGAGACCGGTCAATATCCACACGAGCTACCCTTAGCTCGTCACGAAGAGATGTCAGAGCTCTCTCGTTCTCAAGCTGAGCAAAGGCAAACTCAGCTCGATGCTTCAAGACAGCGTCCGCCAGTTGGAGACGCCTGTCCCGCTCATGTTCGAGGTCGCCGCGTAACCCTTGCGTTACGCGATCAAAGAAGCTCTTGGGAACATACGATTTCCCACGATTGTGTGGAGAGCGTCTTCCCTCCTCCTCCACCTCCATTAGAGGACTCTCGCGGTGGCCAGCGCTATCTGGTTGAGCAGCTGTTGAACCACCGCGACGTGAACGGACGTCGGACGAGTTATCTCGTCCGGTGGCGCGGCTATCCCCCGTCCTGGGATACTTGGGAGCCCCGCTCCCAACTGATGGTTGACGTACTGGGTTTGGTTGAGCAGTACGACGCGGCACATCCTGTGCCGCAGAAGGACCGCCGGAGAAAGTCTTCCCGGCACGGTCGTAAAGGGATTTCAGGTTGTCAATCCCTTCGTACATCTCAGTAGAGATACGTACGCGCCACCACGGGCTGGTAAGGAGGTAAGCCTCCTTAGGTGCTCGTGCAGAGTTGTTCACACAATATGGGCACGAGTCTCCCCAAGAGAGGCAGGGTAATCCCTTCTCCCTTGACAGACGATGCAGCTTGTAGCGTGCACCTGTCGGGGTTCGCTTTTCAAACTTATCACGAGCTTTGATAAGTTTGTAGTTCCAAGCGTCACGACCTACATCCTCAAGGTTATGGATGTAGGCGTTCCACGCTTGAAGCAGTGAGGGACCATCACGTTTGTGATTCCCACTGTACCATCGATGTCTAAAGAAAGCATCGATGAAGAATTCATTCTCAGCGCGATAGGTTTTCGCACTGGGGTCAAGGTGATGGATCCTTGACGAATCGAACAACCGTGTTCGATAGCGATCACTCGTCGTCGCCGACAAGTGATCCATGACGGATTTAGGAGGCATCCATGCCTTCTTCTCAGGAGCGAGGTGCAAGACATTGCGGTCCCGCTCTTCCTGCGACGTGCCGACAGAAGGACTGGCACCTCGTTGCGAAGTGGTGTACATAGGAGAACCGGCACCACTGTTAGCGCCCGAGTCTCGCGACCTCGAGCGCCTACGCTTCGGCGATGGTTCATCTGATTCATCAGATGAACCAAAGATGCTGCGACGCAAAGCATCATCCATGCCACGCTTGGCAGGCGGCTTAGATTCGATCGCCGTCGATACGGATCCGTCTTCAGTATCGGGAGAGTATGAGACACCGAGCTCATACTCTGTGAAGACATGAGTGTCTTCATGACCAGCGCCTGCATCACCAGGTGACACAGGCTGAGTCGCTTCAGCAACCGATGAGACATCAGTTGCTGTTGTTTCTGCTTCGGCGTCCGCACAGAGACGTGCAGACGCGCTCTCGGCGGCCTTGCTCGCGCACCGCATGGGCTTGTTAACCATGCGATGAGATGTTGGAAAGTGGACTCGGACCAACAAGTGCAAACCCTGTCCCAAATGATTTGGGACGAGTATACATTTAGTCAATCAGTCACTAAAGGAGACTGATGGTTAAGGGGGGGGTGATGTAACGGGGTGAATCGTTACATAGCAATTTATAAGAAATTGTTAATAGAATATAACTATAAGAGTTATATTCTCAGAATATTGTCATAAGGACAATATTCTACAGCACTTACGAGTAGTTCCTAATTGGTTGATATAGGCCATTATATCAACCAACGAAGACACGCCACGACAGACGCACGCAATGAGTGGTGAGCAGATAGTTGATATGCACATTTGTATTTCAGACATAGTTAGATGAGGATAAATAGTGGTTTATTAACAGACATTAACAATTACAAATACAGTTCTACTTTTTACTTTAACCGAGTACTCGCTCCTCCGAACCGTCTTCCTCTGCACGTACCAGTGTACGTGAAGTTACGAGGCACCGCCTTATTCTGTCATCAGAATAAGTAGGTTGTACTGTCATCAGTACAAGCTTCCGGGTGCCCCGTTACATAACGCCCCTGCAACATTCAAAAGATGTGTTACGAATCTGTTGCGGTCGGTACGCGAATTTGCACCGAGTTACTTCGACAATCTCTTCGTCAATAGCCGGGCTGTGGATGTAAAGACGGACGTGGAGGTTCATAGAGTCCACGTCCGGAAGATTCTTACACTACTGCGAGAGCATAAGTTGTTCGCGAACCTCAAAAATGTATATTTGCCGCGAAAGAAATACCACTTCTTGGCTGAATCGTGAACAAAAATCGGTGTACGGCCTGATCCGGAAAAGATCAAGGCGGTTAGCGACTGACCCGTGCCAGTCGACGTCAAGGGACTTCAAAAGTTCATTGGCTTAGCGGCGTATCTGCACAAACACTCAAGCAACTATGCCGAAATGACCGTACATCTCTCTCGTCTACTACAGAAAAACTAGAGGTGGTCATGGAGTGCTGAGTGTCAGCACTCCTTCGAAGGTATCAAGAAAAGCTTGGTGCAATCGCCTGTGTAGGCGATTGCAGACCATTAATGATTATTTGATGTGGTCTGTGACGCCAGCGATTTTGTAATCGACTGCGCGTTGACGCAGTACGACTCAGACGGCGATGATCGCGTCGTCTTTTATCCGTCGCGTCAGCTGCAAGCATCTGAGCGTAATTACCCGGTGCATGACAAGGAACGCTTTGCCATGAAATATGCCCTGGCCAGGTTTCGGGTATATCCCTTAGGAGATAGGCCCTTCGTCGATTATTTCGACCATGCATTGTTACGCACGGCCGTAAACAGTCCGCACCTCCCGCACCTCTCGCAACGAATAGCGAGGTGGCTGTCTTTCTTCGCGGAGTACAACTTCTCCGTCGAGTATTAACCAGGACGATTTAATGTCGTCGCTGATGCTCTTTTGCGTCAGCCCGATTTCGATACGACTGCTCAACACAACAGTAGGGGTGATACCATTGTAGCAACACTAACAGTGAGTGTTCCGTCGTAGAATCTGCTCGACCATGTGCGAAAAGCATACGCAGAAGATTAGTCTCTCCTGAGATTGATGGATCATGTAGCCAATCCATGCAGTCAAGCTTTGAAAAGCTTGTCGTCTCATGACCGCTCTTCAACCGAACGGTATTCTGTTCGTGATGGACTGCTGTACTATACAGCAGTCAACGGCGACACACCTCGTGTCGTCGTTCCTGCTCATAATAATTTCGATTGCGCATCATGTATGAGTTTCACGATGCCCCAACAAGTGGGCATCACGGTAGAGAAAAGACCTGCCTCACGGTAAGTAGTGACTTTTACTGGCCCCGCCAGTACGATTTTGTGCGCAAATACATTCGCGCTTGCAAAGTTTGTCAACGGGTGAAGCCTAGTCCTTCATCCCGCGCAATCTCGCAGCCTCTGCCGATCACGGCAGAGTGTTGGCACTTGTATCGATGGCCTTCGTCTTTGGGTTTCCCAAAGATGCTCACAAGAATACTGGTACTCTTGTGTTTTTTGATCGGTTCGGCAAGATGGTACATCTTGTTGCTGTACCGGAGTCAATCACAGCCCAGGGCTGTGCTCGTGTCTTCATCGACACTATCTTCCGACTTCCCGAGTGAACCCGTAAACTCGTGTCTGATGGGGACTACTGCTTCACATCGGAGTTCTGGCAATCCGTGTTCCGTTCAAATGGAACACGTTTGACGATGTCGACTTCTGACCATCCCGAAACAGATGGTTAGACAGAAAGCGTCAACATCGTTTTCGAAGAGATACTTCGAGATTATGTCCACTCGTTTGCGAGTTGGAGTGAGTTCTTGACGATGGCGGAATTTGCCATCAACAACTCGGTACACGCGTCGACAACGCATAAATTGTTTTTCGTGAATGACCTACGCCATCCACGTTTACCCGCCTTCTTAGAGTGTGACTCGAATTTTCTCGGGGATGGACTCGCTTGAACGAAAATCGGACTGGTTCTTGCTCGTCGCACGTCGACAATGGTGTCGACGTGATGAATGCCGATGTCGATTACATCGACACCGATGAAGATGGTGACTACGATGCTAAAATATTCAGAATCGCCAACGACTGCCACAGTGAGGAAGATGACGCTCTCACTGGTGATGACAACGTTCTTTCAGCAGTGCACACGAAGCGCACTGCTGTTGACAAGGAAGAATCAGCTGAGGAAATTCTGCTGAGTCGCGAAGCGATTGTCCGCTTCGTTCAAGACTCTATAGTAGATGCACTTGACAGACAGAAGAGAAACGCAGACAAACAAAGGAGGTCAAAAGTTTTTTCATTTGATGAAGGAGACTTAGTTTTACTGTTTTCAGTAAATCTACCGAAACACGCATTAACAAACGTGGGCAGCAGTAAATTACTGCCCAAGTATATCGTTCCATTTCGTGTGTTGCGCTGAATGGGCAACGCATACACGATTAAACTGTCTCATAGAATGCGTACGCATCCTACGATTTACGTTAAACGTCTCCACCCGTACTATCAGTACGAGCCCGTTTCGAGATGCGAAGAACACCTCCGCGGTCAAGAGCCAAGACCACCTTCGAGTGGTCCCGTTTCAACGAGCTAATCTGGTCGACTTGCGAAGCGACCTGCTCTCGCAGTTGAGCAATATCTCGACGAGCTACAGCCAGCTCGTCACGAAGAGAACGAGTCAAACCTTCGTTCTCAAGTTGTGCTAACGCAAACGCGGCACGATCGTTCGAACGATCGTGCGTTAAGGAATTGTGATTATCCTTTACAAGATCATGGAGCTCATAACGCTGAGATCGTTCTTGAGCCAGGTCATCTTGCAACTGCTCCGTTACACGGTTCAGATCCTGAACATCAATCTGATTCGACCCTCGAGCCAAATCAGGTTTTCCCGCCACCACCACATCCTTTGGTGGACTCTGGCGGTGGTCAACGCTTTCTGGTGGAGCGTATTTTGAACCACCGCGATGTGAATGGCATCCGGACGAGTTACCTCGTCCGCTAGCGTGGCTATCCACCGGCGTGAGACAGCTGGGAGCCTCGTGCCCAGCTGATTGTTGATGTTCTGGGTCTCGTCGAGCAATATGACGAGACCCACCCGCTGCGTTCGAAGAAGGGCCGTCGGAAAACGACCTCCCCGAACACGAATACAGGGATTGAAAAGTGTAGATCCCTTCGGCCATCTCAAAAGAGATGCGCGCCCTCCAGTAGGAATCATGAGGGAGGTAGGCCTTCCTAGGGGCACAGTTCGAGTTTTCCAGGAAACTAGTATACGAATCACCCCACGAAAGACAGGGTAATCCTGCCTCTCTTGAATGTCGGTGCAACTTTTATCGCACCCCAACTAGGTTGCGCTTCTCAAACCTGATGCGAGCTGCATCAAGTTTACCGAGCCAGGCCTCACGGCCAATGAACTTTGTGTTATGGATGACGGCATTCCATCCTTGTACCAAGGCCTTGCCGTCTCAAACACGGCTACCGTTGTACCACCGATGTTAAAAAAAACATCGTTGAATAATTCTTCCTCAGCACGGATAGTTTCCGTGCTGGAATCAGGTGAACAAATCTTCCTACAGTCGAAAAACGGGATTCGATACCGATCCGTAGTCATGCCGACCAACCGGTCCAACTCCTTGAATGACGGCATTCAAGGAGATTCCGTTTGAGGAGCGTGGCGCAGGATATTTCGGTCCCAGGCCTCGTGATTGGTGTCAGCATGAGCACTGACATCGATGGCAGCTCGACCCCTCGAGTTACTTCGCTCGTGGTGATGCTCAGAGGCATCGCCACCATCACCACTCCTCCTATCGTTGTCTGGACTCGCGTGAGGCGAGGATTCGTTGGAACAATCGCTCGATCCGAAGATCTCGAGCACGATGCCGCCACGTTGACCGGAGCCAGTCAACCTGGCTCTTGCATTGTCCGCACCGGGTGATTCGGAGGCGTGAGGTGTCGCCTTCGAGTTGGATACATCATCCGACCGCCAGAATTGATGAGCTTTATTTCAGGCTCATCTTAATTACGACTCGCGGTACCCGCTGCAGACGCAGCGGATGAATCTGTCGCACGTGGTGACTCACCACGTGGACTATTTACAACAACAGGCAACGTATAAACTGCTGCTGAGGTGTTAGAAGCACTCTCTCCGGCTGCACGCATGCGTGCAGCTGCCTTTCTTGCTGCTGCATTAGCAACTCGCTTGGTTTTTAAGACCATGCGTCGGATTGGCAAATGAATGGGATTTGACCAACAAGCGCTCCCTTTCCCAAAGTGATCCAACGGTGGTCACCCTGTCCCAATTAATTTTAAACAATCAACAGGTGATTGATGGTTAGGGGTTGATGTAACGGGGTAAGCCGTTACATGATATTGACACCAAACGGTGTCAATAGGGATACATCGTCTAGCATGACAACATCCTACCAATATTATCCGAGATGGATAGTATTGAAGGAATATTATCCCCTTTTAGGAAATTATTTATGCACTGCTCGAAGATTGGTTGATAAAAGACATATCATCCATAGATAACCACAAATCGCTACTAGACGCGCGCAATGAGTGGTGAGCAGGTTGTCGTCATACGACGACGTAGTTTAAAATAATTAGATAAAGATTAAAGTTATATTGATAGCCTAACTATATTGATTACAGTTCTCTTTTTATTCTTTACTCAACATAGCTCTTGAGCAAATTAGCTTCCTCTGCACGTAATAGTGTACGTGAAGTTTCGTTGCACCTCAAACAAAGGGTGACCCGTTACGGACTAATCTTACACTATCCAGCAGACTTCACCGGTGTACAACTAGTACCCGGCTAGGTACGAAATTTCACTTTCCAACACTCCTCCTCGCCGGTGAGAGTGTGCGACTTAGTAACGCCGCTGCGTGTTCTCTTGTTGGATGTTCATTTCGAACATCTTGCCAGCTGTGCATGTCCTGGCTGCTTGTACGCACGCGTTATCCTTGTGCCGTCTTGAGCTTCCCGCCGTGTATCACGATGCTCGCCGCCCTCGCATTGACCCGCTCGACTCGTCGGCGGTCAAATAATCCACGGACTACTGGCTATAATTTATCGTCCTGCACTTCCTTTAGCCGTCCGCGTTTCTTCTTTATCTTCTGTTCTTGCGACATCTTTCTTGGATCCGCATCTTGACTTGACTGTGGACGCACCAGATGCTTCTTGCCTGGTGCCGCCATCCTTCCCCTGTGTTTGCTCCCCCTGAGCACCAAGTATCTTTCTTGCCCCGGTCATCCCAATCGCTCAGCCCTCTATCATGCGCTCTTTGTTTTTACACTTCTGCAACAGCGCCTGCCCAAGCAGGGCGACGCACGCGCAATCTTGGGCTCGTATCCTGTAGAAACTAAGAACACATGATACGAAAGACTTTTTTTTGGACGCGTGCCAGACGCGTTTCGGCCCGCCGCCGCGGGCCTCCTCAGTGGCTTACCGAATGCAAAATGAGCATCTCAGTGCAGCGGCCTCTGCCGCTGCCACACGTTTCCTACGCGTCGAACATTCTTAAACTACCTCTTATACGGACTAATCTAACACTATCTAGCAGACTTTACCGGCGTACAACTAGTCACCGGCTAGGTACGAAATATTACACTCCAACAGAGACATCTTTCGGCCAAGAGCCACTTGATGATGGGAATGGGTTGGGACGCAGAAATTTCTCGGATGAAAAAAGGTTAGTTGATGGCCCCCATAGTTTCAAAAATTTCTGGTGTGACCTGCGCTCCCCGCCTCATGAGACCGTCCGTAAACAAAACGGTGATGGACTGGTCATAATTGGGTCTCATTCAGTGTGAAAGGAAATTCTGAGAAAGCAGTGCTCGCTGGGAAGAAAGCATCTGAGCATAATGTTTACACGCTATCGAAGTTCCTGCTTCCATTTGTACATTTATACTACGTTGCCGGCAACATCTTCCAGCAGAACAACACATCGATTTATGCTTCGGAGCAAGCAGCAGAAGTTGTTAAAGAGAAGCAAATGAAGGAGATGAAATGGCCAGCACGCTCACATGTTCTGAACCCGATCGAAAACTTGAGGTCACCTTTGGCGGTGAAAGTGTGCGCTAACGGTAAGCAGTATTGCAATATCAACGGGTTAACAACGGCTACTTTGTCTGAGTGGCCAGGCATCTAGTCGGAAACTTGGGCAACCGCGTTAACTTAATGCCAAAACGATGCATTAGGGTCATCGAGATGCGTGGCAACAAGACCCATTATTGAATAGACAAAGTGTTACTCTCGTATTTATTCTTGTTTTTATATGGATAGAGGGAGCTTATCTTTTGGCCACGTCCATTTTTCGACATTTGTATGAATGACCCCCTTTGAACTGATAATTACGGGTCGATTACACATGCACCTTATCTAATACACTTACCGATCTATCATGTTCCAAGAGCAGTTCTCAATTCGGAATAGTCGCTGAGATATTTAAAAAACATGGGGTTAACTGTACGTTTGGCCTGGAGTGTACAATGTGATCGCTATAAAGCGTTGTAACCTTTTTTTTCTTTTAGTGCCTAGATTGCCATACAGTGCCCGCTGAAACAATAAAACATAATTTTATTAATTATTTAGGTAATCAAAAAAAATTGTAGCTCTTTCACTAATTTAACACGCATCTTGTCATGATAGATTTTAGCACCCTAATAACAAGCTTTGGTTTACTTTGCGTCTATATCAATCGCTAAATTTTTACCCACCACGTACTTGACAGACCCTAGAATATCAAAGTTCAAAAAGTGTCTATCATGTAACCGTACATTTATTTTTGACCGCCCATGAAATTTGTATTCTTCACTCCACTTTTAGTTCAGCAGATACGTGCTGCTGTTGATAAGGTGGCAGGCCATTATAAAATTTAAAGGACATTTTGCAAGAGTTAGGGGCCAAGGAAATACTATCCATGCTTGGAGGCTGCCTGCTATTTTTGAAAGTGTGCGACTTCGTTTGCAAACAGAATGCGCAACCATAAAAAATACTCATTGAGTGCGTATTATTTACGCACACCTGCATCTTTCTTACATCGTTTGATATGTGACCAATTGATATCCTGAGTGTCCGTTTGTTCTCATGCCCCCCCCATCGCGAGAGTTGCATGAATTAAGCACAATGACGTAGTTAGGCGCAATGAGTGCAGCATTTGACTTTGCCGCTACTTTGTGCATCCATATCGTGAGATTTCTTTTACCATACCTCCTCCGTATCGCCCACATACAGCCTACATTTGTATAGTCCGCGAGCGATGTGGAGGGACCCAAAAGGGCATCTAGGAGATAAAGGGAATCAACTATTATTGTAACACGGCACCCTTTGTTTGAGGTGCAACGAAACTTCACGTACACTAGTACGTGCAGAGGAAGCTAAGCTACTTAAACGACTCGTTCAAGTAAGGGTAAAAGAGAACTGCATTCAGTATAGTTAAGCTATCAATAAAACTTTCATCTTTATACAACTATATTAAACTACGTTATCGTATGACGACAACCTGCTCACCACTCACTGCGCGCGTCTAGCAGCGATTTGTGGTTATCTATGGTTGATATGTCTTTTATCAACCAATCTTCGAGCAGTGCATAAATAATTTCCTAAAAGGGGATAATATTTCTTCAATACTATCCATCTCGGATAATATTGGTAGGATATTGTCATGCTAGACGATGTATCTATAGACACCGTTTGGTGTCAATATCATGTAACGGGCTACCCCGCTACAATCAAAGTTTTGGTCAAAAAATGATTCAATTGTTACGACACAAAAGCTAAATGCTGTACTAGAAATGCATATAGTACATAATTTTGAATAGTAGACTACATTGGGATGACCTCGATGATGACATTTTACCTACCTAAGCCAACCTATTTCCATGTTACAAAAACAGGCAATCGTACACTACAAAATGTTACATGTTATTAAATAATTGCTTTTGGTTGCAAGATCTATCTCTTATGGTCCTATAGGGTGCATTCCTGTCAAGCGAAATACAATTCGGAGATGAAGGGTGTAAAATGAAGGTACTAAATATAGCACAAAAATTTGGCCTTTTATTTTTCTTATTTTTAGGTATAAAGAATAGGCTGAGAACTGGTCTGGCAAAAGAATTAGAAAATCATATTTAACAAGAGTGGTGCGAAGACCATGTTTGACAAAGGGTGTATTTATAAA